TGGCCTTTTGTACTCATGTTACTGAAACATGGTCTGATGAGAATTGGCAGGAGGGCCTTCAGCTGATTTCTCCATTCCCTTAGCCTGAATAGCTGGAGGAGTATTCACAAGTCCCAATTTGGAAATATGCATATGATTCATTTCCTGGATAAGGCAAGTTAATGGGATCAGCAGAGCCCACGAGGCAAAGGATTTGTCCAGTTGGCCCCTGGGTCAGGCCTGGGAATAGATTTTTTACAATCTCCATGATCATGTATGTAGGAGCACAGGGAAACGAGAAGACATTAGGGTATCTGTCTGGTGGCCTATAGTCCTGCTAACCTGTATTTTTTTCAGGCTGAAACGATCAGTTATTTCAACAAATTTATTGATTCCACGTAGAACCCCAAACTAGGGTACTTTGAATATACCAGGTAGAAAGAAACAGAATTTACAGTCCCTGCCCCAGAGCCAAAATACAGGACACTGTGTCCCCACAAATTAGCTAATTTCATAGCAACAAATTTACTGATTCCACTTCTGAAATAAGAGCACTTGCAAAGGAAAGAAACATGAAGGCAACTCCATGTCACACACACTTCTTAAATGTTGAGAAGTAGAAAAAGGAGTAATTGGCATCTATCCTCTTGACCTCTAATCACTAATTTGTCTTTCTTTTCCAGTGGTCTTAAACTAGGCATGATCCATATGATATTGGACTTTGTATTCCCAGCGCCTATTAAAATAACTGACAAAGAGCAGACACTCCACAAATATTAATGAAACACTTGGTGAATGGTTTTAGGAAGGTGGGGTTAATCAAAGAATCATCCTACAAGTGGCATTTTAAAACTATAAACGTTTTTTTCTGAAGGTAAAAGTAATACATGCTCATAATAAAAAATTCAGAAAGTATTAAAGAAAATATAAATGGGGGCTCCTGGGTGGCTCAGTTGGTTAAGCGACTGCCTTCGGCTCAGGTCATGATCCTGGAGTCCCTGGATCGAGTCCCGCATCGGGCTCTCTGCTCAGCAGGGAGTCTGCTTCTCCCTCTGACCCTCCCCCCTCTCATGTTCTCTCTCTCTCATTCTCTCTCTCTCTCAAATAAATAAAATAAAATCTTTAAAAAAAGAAAATATAAATGACCTTGTTCCACTCATCCAGAAATAGTTAACTATTATCATTTCCTTTTAGAGTGACGATTATCTCCTCAGCCAGTAAAATTTCATCACATTATTTTTTTTTTAAGATTTTATTTATTTATTTGACAGAGAGAGAATGAGAGAACACATGAGAGGGGGGAGGGTCAGAGGGAGAAGCAGACTCCCTGCCGAGCAGGGAGCCCGATGCGGGGATGTGGGACTCGATCCAGGGACTCCAGGATTGTGACCTGAGCCGAAGGCAGTCGCTTAACCAACTGAGCCACCCAGGCGCCCCTCATCACATTATTTTTAATGTCTGCTTAATATTCCACTGATAGGCATCTAGGTGGCTGCCATTTTTTGCTGTCATAAATATTTCTTCAATGACTATTTTTTTGGTTATAAATATTTTTCCCCAAAAGATTTCCTTAAAGCAGAGCCAGACCTATAAATACAGAGAACAAACTGGTGTTGCCAGAGGGGAGGAGGTTGGGGGGGGCGGGGAGTAAAATGGGTGAGGGCAAGTGGGGAGATAGGCTTCTAGTTGAATTAAGTCATGGGAATAAAAAATACAGCATAAGGGGGAAAAAATTTCCTTGGGCTATATCCTGAAACATGAAATTATTGGAAACATTTTTAAGGTTCTAAATAAAGTTACCAAACTAGTTTTCCAGAAAGTTTCATCAATTTACATTCCCACTAAAAGAATACGCTACAGGAATAATGGTTGTAGCAAGGTCTTTCTTTCTTCTTCTTCAGTGAGATTAAGCAACTTTACAGAAAAATAAAGAATGTCAAACTATGAAATGTTTTCACCATGGCAGAGTCTCCTCTGTTATTTAATACCCATGATTTTTTTTTTTAATACCCATGATATTTTTACAAAACTTTAATCAGTGACTACTCTGGGTTCTGCTCTTTTCACCACAAAGTACTTTCTACTTATAAATATAGTTCACATCGTGGTCATTTTTAATCACTCTGTAATTCCTCATTGTGCTAATATATCCCAGTGAGCCTGAAGGTTTTCTTATTGTCAGGATTTGTAGCTGTTTCCAGTCTTTACTATTAAATTAGCAATAAACACCTTTGTAGTTTCCCACTCCTCGCTTTTCCAAGAGTGAAATTACTTGACTGAAGAGTACAAACCATTTTATAGCTCTGGTTACAAACCGCCAAGTTGCTGGGCAACGTTTTTTTATTTTTTATTTTTATTTATTATTTTTTTTAAAGATTTTATTTATTTGAAAGAGAGAGACACAGCGAAAGAGGGAACACAAGCAGGGGGAGTGGGAGAGGGAGAAGCAGGCTTCCCGCGGAGCAGGGAGCCCCATGCAGGGCTCGATCCCAGGACCCTGGGACCATGACCTGAGCTGAAGCCAGACGCTTAATCGACTGAGCACCCAGGCTCCCCACAACGTTTTTTAAAAAGGGAAACTGGCATACGGGGCAGGGGGTGGGGGGGTTGTCTCTCATTCTGGAACAAGGTCCAGGGCCCCGGAATCTTAACCAGAAGCCAGGACACCTGAGCTTCCTCACAGGCACTTGGGAAGTCCCTTTCCCCATTCTGAAACTCAATTCTCTTATTTATAAAATGAGATATTTGGATCGAAGGGATTAAGGTCCTTTTCCACCAGAAATCCAGCCACACTCTTCCCAGTCTGCTCTGCATGCCCCTCTCCTGACTCCTAGGAGCTCAGACTCTAGCTCAGTGCTTGGGACAAGGATCTGCTTCCTTTCTCTTGGCTGCAGAGTCCCATCAAAGTACCCAAATACTAGTGTCCTCGGAGGAGAGACAGCAGAGCCTAGGGGTTCACAGCAGCACCAGCTGGTTTGAATCTCGGCCCTGCCACTTTCTAGCTATGTGACAAAACACGTAATGTCTCCTCTGTCTGGAAGGTTAATACTAGTTTCTACCTCAGTGGATTGTTGTGAGAATTACATGAATTCCTGTTTATAAGACACTAAGAACAGTGCCTGGCACAGAGTAAGTGCTTTATAGTGGGCTTGTTGAATAAATAAGAGAAAATTTAGCAGTAAACTCTGGGTCTCTTCCTACTGCAACAGCTCCTTGACTGGCACCCCCAGCCTCTGGGATGAGGGAACAAAAGGCAAGCTGAGGACAAAGCAGAAGATGACCCCCCATGGGATCTATGTGACATTCCTCAGGCACTCCTAAAGGAAAAACAAATAGTTAACTTATAGAGATCACAATCCTACAAGACGGGAGTCTCCCTCAGTTTACAAACGTCTTAGCAATCTACAAAAACAACGCATTCCTATCATCAATAACCTAGCTTCCAGAAGGAAATGTAGATAAAATTAAATGCCCTTATAACCTGCAGCCCATTGATAGATAATTGAAGCAGGCAGAGTGTAACGTTCCTCCCGGAAGCTACCAACTATCTTAATGTTAATGCCTTACTAGAGGGGTAAACAACCTTAACTTGACAATGGCAAGGCCTCCGGTATCTTGTAGGTCCTCTTTAGCATATGAAAGTTCTTTTGAAACCTCCCTTTTTCCTTACCTCCCCCAACCCCATAGTATATAATCAACCACCCCTCACAATCCCCGGGCAGGGCAGCAGCTCTTTCTGCCCATGGGTCCTGTCCCCGTGCTTTAATAAACCACCATTTTGCACCAAAGGGGTCTCAAGACTTCTTTCTTAGTCGTGGGCTCCGGACTCCACCCCCATTGAACCTCACCTATATCCCCAAACCCCATCATCTGGGTGCTTCCTCACTCCCTCCCAAAGCCCAGAGGTCTGAGCCCCAAATCCCTCTACTTAAAGGCCTCCTATGGCTCCCGGGTGCCTTCAGGACGTAGTAGGGATGCCTCAGCTTGAAGACCCAGGCTCTCCACACAGAACCTCCCTGAGGTCAGGAGATGCTGAAAACCACTTCCTTTTATTTATTCCAGTTAATTCAGAATAGACCAAAAATTAAAACAAAAAGGGTAAACAGGCCTACAAAAATTGTGGGGCATTTTTAACGTTATTTTGGGCAAAAGAAAGCATGAGCATGCCCCAAACCCAATTAACCGTTAATTACGCTGTTCACAGGTAACCGCCAAGGGTTCGCACCCTGTTATTTCAGGCCCCACAACCGTGGGGGCCCTGGCGAGGAGGCCGGGGGTTTATCAGACGGATCTGCGCTGGGTCGGGGCCCGGAGACTGGCAAGGGCGCCCGGGGCCTAAGGACCAGTCCCCTGGGGCAGCCTCGACCCCAGGACGGCCCCTCCCCACCCACCGGCGCGCCGAACCCCGCACCCAGGAGCGTCCGCAGAGAGTGCGTTCCAGCTCGCAGGACCCCCGGGAGCCGTACCCGCGAGTCGGGAAACTGAACGCCGCGAACCCTCCACGGAACCCGCGAGGGGGCGCGCCCGCCCTAATCCTCCCAGCCGAGCCGGGTGGGAAGGCGGGGGCTCGCTCCCCGCGCCACGCGGCTCGACCAATGGGAGCGCGTGCAGCGGGGCTCCGCGGTCCGCGCCGCGGGTGCTGAAAACCCGGCGCGCGCAGGCGGGTCCGTTCTCCGCGCTCGCGAGGGCGGCGCGTTCTACCCCACGGGCCCGGAGCGCGTGCCTGACCGCCTCTGCCCGGATGGACTCCGAGCCCGCTACCCAGGCGCCGACCCAGCGCTACTTCACGTGGGACGAGGTGGCGCAGCGCTCCGGGCACACGGCGGAGCGGTGGCTCGTGATCGATCGGAAGGTATACAACATCAGCGAGTTCTGCCGGCGGCACCCCGGGGGCTCCCGGGTCATCAGCCACTACGCGGGGCAGGATGCTACGGTGAGCGGTGCCCAACCGCGGCACGGGAGTGGGCGGGGCCGGGCGGCTGCCGCGGGAGGTTGAATGCTCCAGGCAGGAAGTTTGGCACCCACGGACGGCGAACTCCCAACTGATTCGGGGGAGAAGCCAGCAGGCGTCGAGCATGCCCGTTGCCCACGACTTAGCACGGGATGCAAGGGCAGGAGAATGGCTGTGAAAACTGGAATCAGGAGAGTGGGGATGGAGGCCGGCAGCGTGCCCACACAAACAAAGGACTGCGAGCCCGTGTGCGTGCGTTCCGTCTGTGGCCCCGTCTTTGGTAGCCAGACGTACGCAGACGTACCCCAGAGCAGGACAAGCAGGGAGGAAAGCCAGGATGCAGGCTGCCGGGACGGCGGAGCGGCTGAGGCCGAGGGAGGAGGGGCCAGCGGCAGGAAGAGGGAGTCTCGACCTGTCTCGGTGGGTGCGAAGGGAGCGCAGCGGGCGTCTAGACTGCGCGTGCCGGCTTGCGAGTGGGAGCAGGAGAGGGAAGCGTTTTCGGGGATAGGGCCGAGGCGGGAAGCCAGCCAGTGCCCGCTGCCGTGGGAACCCCCGTACAGGGTGAAGGGGCGGCTGGGCGGGCAAGGCCAGAGCTTGCAGCGGCCACCACGACTGACCACTGGGAAGCCGGGACTGCGGGGGAGAGCGAAGAGGTGGGCGCTCGCGCATGCGCAGACGAAGCAGGCACCGACGCAGGGTCTTCACGCAGTGTGATTTGGGGCCGGGGCTGGGGCCGGCCGCAACGGGGATAGCGATTGGTCCAGATGTGTGGTGCCACCGGCCGCCGGCTCCGCCCCGGCTCCCGCCTCTAGTGCCGCCTCCCCCTAAGGCCTGGGACCGCCTGACCTGCCAAAACCGAAAGTAGCCACTGCGGCAGGGGGTGGTCAGAGTCTTAGGGGAAATAATGGAACCCTACCAGGAACGGCGGCAGAGAGAAGGGGGAGAAATGGGAAAGTTACCAGTTCGGAGGTAGGGAGTCTTCCAACTCACATTTAATGACGAACGCTGGCTCAGAGGGGATCTGTTAAAAGTCCCATAGATAAAAACAGAAGTCTCAACAGCCCCACCCATCCCTTCTAGTTGTTTCTCACCTAGATCTTAAATTCTTGTGCAAGAGCTGTCCCTAGACACGCCTAGAGGACAGGCCAGCTTAGCGGACAGGCCAGCCCAGAGAAGTCTTTCCGTGGTCACCCCTACCCACACTTCTTACTCCTTGCTGTGGTGCCGTTTTCACTAGAACACATGCTGGGTGTTCCTGAGATGTGCACACCTGGGAAAGGTCTAAGCACCCTCAAAGGTCAGCTGACTGGAGGGAAGTGGTATCTCTTTGAAGTTGGATACAGCCTCCTTGCTGGATCAGGAGGATGGCCTCTGGTGTGAGCCCTCCAGGAGCCCCGGGGGCCCGGGCTGGCTTCCTAACTGCTCTGTCTTCTCCCTATCCTTGCAGGATCCCTTTGTGGCGTTCCACATCGACAAGGGCCTTGTGAGGAAGTATATGAACTCTCTCCTGATTGGAGAACTGTCTCCAGAGCAGCCCAGCTTTGAGCCCACTAAAAATGTGAGACTCTGCTGTTTGGAGACACTTTGATTGTTGAAGGGCAAGGGGGGGAGAAGGAAGGCCTAGATAAGATCAGAGTTGATCACAGTCAATAGTTCTTTTTTTTTTTTTTAAGATTTATTTTATTTGAGAGAGAGACAGCATGAATGGGATGAGGGGCAGAGAGAGAAATAGATTCCCCATTGAGCAGGGGCCCAATCCCGGGACTCTGGGACCATGATCTGAGCTGAAGGCAGACGCCTAACCAGCTGAACCACCCAAGCACCCACAGTCAGTAGTAGTTCTTGTGAAACCTTGAGGTCCCTGTTTCTCCCACAGTCACTGGGACACAGGCATAATGAGCAGGGCTTTGAAACCTATGGCTCTCACAAGGCCAACACCACCACTACCCTCATCAAGACCTATTTAAGCATGTACTCTGTGTCCGCCATAACCACATAGAACCCATACACATTTACAGATGAGAAAGCTGAGGCTCAGGGAGGGTGAGCAATGTGGCCAAGAATCACACTGTTAGTAGATGGCGGAGCAGGGCCTTGAGTCAAGTCTGTTTAACTCCAAAGACCACATGCTCTCAGGCATGGTCCTTCAGCACGTCTTTCCTCAGTGTTGTGGTAGACTTACCTAGGATTATGGACTTCCCACAGCTATCTGGGGATGGGGGTTTCTGGAGCCTAAGAGGGCCCCTGTGTCCAGCAGTGTTGGGTTACAGCTGGGAAGAATAACAGCCCCTCCCTCTCACTCTTCCACAGAAGGAGCTGATTGATGAGTTCCGAGAGCTGCGGGCCACAGTGGAGCGGATGGGGCTCATGAAGGCCAACCATGTCTTCTTCCTATTGTACCTCCTGCACATCCTGCTGCTGGACGTAGCTGCCTGGCTCACTCTTTGGGTCTTTGGGACATCCCTTGTGCCCTTCCTCCTCTGTGCAGTGCTGCTTGGCACGGTTCAAGTGAGAGCTCTTGGCTAGTCAAGAGCACAGCCGTGCTCAGCATCCTTGCATCCTTGGGGAAAGCTCTCTGTATGCCTCAGAAGGCCAAGAAGCCCGGCCCTGTGACCGGGGCGGCACTGAGGATATGGGGGAGAGTTAGCGCACAGAGACATTTTATCATCTGTGCCTTTTACCTGCTCCTTAACCACATGCGCCCCTTCACTTTGCTCACCCAAGTGTAGCCCAAGTTTGTCAAGAACCAAGATTCTGATTTCTCAGAAAAGCTTGGCTTTCTCCTCATCATCACATTGCCCAACATGCTAATAAGGCTTAGAACCTGATATCAGAACCCATTTGCCAAGCCTGCTACTCGCCTCTGAGTTTGTCACTCTGTCCTTTTTTGTAGTCTGGATATTCACTCCATCATAAGTCCTAGAACTACAGAGAGTTCTATGGGAACTCTTTGAGGGAACTGAAGAACAGGGAAAGGATAGTGATTTGCCCCAACTCTTGCATGAGTTAGTGGCAGAGGTCCAGAGTTGGGACCCTGACTCCTTTCCTGACGTGCTCGAGGTACTGTGGCAATCACAGGGCTAGGCAGACGAAGGAAGGGGGTGAGGCAGGGACCCCCTGAGGTCACTGAGATGGAGCCTGGGCTGGTGGGCTGCTCTCAGCACTAACTTTTCTCACTCAGGCCCAGGCCGGCTGGCTGCAGCATGACTTTGGGCACCTGTCTGTCTTCAGCACCTCCACCTGGAACCACCTGCTACATCATTTCGTGATTGGCCACCTGAAGGTCAATGAGCTGGGGAGGGGCTCGTGAAACTCCAGTCAATGAAGGGTTTCCTTGGGGGGGATGGGGGAATGCTAGGCTTTCATACTCATGTCCCTGCTTTTCTGTAGGGGGCCCCTGCCAGTTGGTGGAACCACATGCACTTCCAGCACCATGCCAAGCCCAACTGTTTAGGCAAAGACCCAGACATCAACATGCACCCCCTCTTCTTTGCCTTGGGGAAGATCCTCTCTGTGGAGGTGAGTAGAAATATCAGTGGAAAGGTCTTGGGAGAATGGCAGCCAACCAGAAGAGAGGGCTCTGGGGAAAATGTTCACAATGCTGTCAGTGTGGGTTAGAGAGTGAGGCCAGGCTGGCTTGCTGGCAGTCGCCGGAGGCAACAGGCAATAAATAAGCTGCCCAGGATAGAATCACCTGTTATCCCTGGTGAGTGTAAGCCAACAGTTATTGCATAAACATACCTCATGCTGCAAGGGATCCAAACAGTGACCAGATTACTGTGCAGATCTCTGCAAATCGAATGGATGGTCCTCCTTGGGGATACTTTTTAGATATTCCTACCCCAGGCAGTCACCCCCACTGACACCTCCCACAACTCTGATATCCTACTGTGTGCAGTCTTCCCCATCAAGGGCTGGACCAACTGTCTTACTCTTCTTTGATGCCCAGGGCCTGGAACATTCATTCGTTGAGTAATTCTTCCCACCCATCTGACCCCAGCCTGACTTCCAGGGTGGTCAGTGTTGGGTTTGAGTTATCACCTGAGGTTATGAGCAAAAATTGTAATGCAGCTGCTGAAGGATGAATGCCTGAGGGTGGAGATCTGGAGAGCTTTTGGTGAACATAAGGCAATAGGAGACTTTGAATGGCCAATAGAGTTCTTTGTAAAGTTACTTTAAAACCTTCTGTGCCGGGGCACCTGGGTGGCTCAGTCGTTAAGCATCGCCTTCGGCACAGGTCATGATCCCAGGGTCCTGGGATCGAACCCTGCATCAGGCTCCCCGCTCCGCGGGAAGCCTGCTTCTCCCTCTCCCACTCCCCCTGCTTATGTTCCCTCTCTTGCTGTGTCTCTCTGTCAAATAAATAAAAATCTTTAAAATAAAAAAAAATAATAAAAACACCCTCTGTGCCGAGGCTCTAGGCTGCAGTTAAAGAGTCCCACCAGACCCCCCTCCCCGCACTGTATGATACTTCAGCATGCCAAGAATTCAGACTGTTCCATTGTAGGCATGAGTGAGTGCAAGGTAGCCTGGCTGTCCTCCCCCTCTGGCCAGGAGGACTCTGTGGAAAGGCTTTTACAGTGTTGGCTGTCCTGGCACCAGGAGCCCCTTGTTGAGGCTTATGCCCCACCTTTGCATAATGTCCTAATTTTCCTACCTCCTAAGCAAGGCCTTGGCTTGCTACACGTCCAACACTGTATAATGGTCAACGGTGTGCGGATGATGAATCAGCCTTGGCCCCACCTGTGTGGGTGATTTGTTAGGCAGAGCATCTAGTCCTTGGTAGCACTTCTGTCACTACAGAGAGTTAAAAAAAAAAAAAAGGGTGGGAATTTAAGTGGAAGAGAACCTTCTCACACCACTGCCTTTATTGTTTCTTGGTACTAGAGTTTTCAAGAAACTCCCGTTTGCAGACACTAAAAACAGAAAGTGATCTAGGATCGATAGATATTTTTCTGTCTAGTTATGAGCCTGAGGATGGACTGCCTATTAGTAAATGCCTTGGCTGCAGGCTGCTTGGCCTTTGCTTCAGCCCCTCTGGGAGCTGATCCCCATGCTGACCCCGGGGCATCCACCTCAGTGCCTCCCGAGTCTCCTGGAGAACAAGAAAACGCAGGAGACACCTCACCCTAAATACAAACTTTCTGGCTCTGTCCGAGAGTTGAAACACAATAGGGCCGTTATTAGGATCATAATAGCATCTGATTGCCATTCAAGGAGGCAGCAGTGGACAGGGCTCCCTTCCATAACAGTTCCAAAATAGGCCAGTGTCTTCCCACTCACCCCCATCAAACCTGACAGGTGCTCCTCGTCTGCTTTTCCCTGTAGAGGATGGGGTGAACTTCACCCCAACATCCAGTTTATCAGCAAGCCTTGTTAATACTGTCTCTAAAACATCCCAAATCCATTGACTTCTCCATCTCCGTTGCTTCCCATCCCCCCCCCCAATCCATCTTGGAGCCTGATTCCTGCTCCAGCCTCTTCCCTGGTCTCCCTGCAACTATACCTCCCCCCACTACAGTTCATTCCCTCCTGCAGGCTGAGTGGGCCTGTCCCAAGTGCAAAGCCGATAATGCTACACCTGTTGAAAGCCCTCCAGTGGCTTCCCATCACCACTGGAATAAAACCCAGGCTCGTTGCCAAGGTCTTCCTGGGGCTCTCTAAGGTCCACTGTGAATTGGCCTTCCCTAGTTGTCCAGCCTTATCAGTCCTTCTCCCCTGTTGCTTACTGTTCCCGGCCACACTGCCCGTTTTGTCCCTCAAACATCCTGCGCCTTTGTACTAGCTCTTCTCTCTGCATTAAATGCTCTTCCCCTGAATTCCTGCTTTGCTGGCTCCTTTTCATTCAGGTCTCAGTCCAGATGTCAGCAGCTCAGAGTGACCATTTCTGACCACCAGAGCCAAAACGCTGCCTCCCTCACTTTGTCCTATTTTCCTGTTTTTAATCTGTAATTACCATTAGTTCTGTTCACACGTTTGTCATCAGCTTCCTCTCTTCAAATTATAAGCTCCATGAGAGTAGGAACTTTTGTGTTGCTCACCTCTGTATCTTCAGCACTTAGAACAGTGCCTGGAACATAATAGGTGCTCAGTAAATACTTGTTGAATTTAATCAGTTAATACAGAAAGGATGCTTCATTTAGCAGAAATGCCTTGCACAGAATCAGTCAATCAGTCAATAAGAATAAATGTTATTGTCATTCCGATGCACAGAAGAAAGAGGGACTGGCGTTCCACTCGGGAGTGGAGTAGCTCCTGTGCTCTGGGCTCATCCGGTTGCCAGAACTAACTCGGGCAAGAGGGGCAGAAGGAGCCACCAAGTGAGACAGCAGAGCTTTGCTGTCATGATTTTGGGTGCCTATGCGGGCATTCAGGCTGACTGATCTGACAGCACCGGCCCGTCTCTTCAGCAGCTAGGCTTATAAAATAATCACTACCCACTGGGAAAAGCCTTGCCAGAACCTTCAGATTGCCAAGTTCTGTCCCTTTCCGCCAGTATTTGCTAACTTCGCTTAGCATTCGGGATTTTATAAAGTTCATGTTGTAATCAAGAGACCAAAAGAGGGTCTGGATGGATGGATGGATGGATGGATGGATGGATGGATGGATGGATGGATGGAGAGGGAATACTGGCCTGTGTAGGGGTATAAATGGTTGTCTATGGTGAAAAAAGTACCAGATGGTTGGGGCGCCTCAGTGGCTCAGTTGGTTGAGCGTCTGACTCTTGATTTCGACTCAGGTCATGATCTCGGGGTCCTGGGATCGAGCCCCCAGTCAGGCTCTGGGCTTGGTGGGGAGTCTGCTTGGGATTCTCTCCCTCTCCCCCCTCACTCTAAAGTAAGTAAACAAATCTTAAAAAAAAAAAAAAAAGTACTAGTTGGGGAAAAGGGGAGAGGATGTGGAGGGGCCTGGAAACCTTAAGACAAAGGTGTCTTTGGATGACATGAGGAGTCCTGAGGACCTGCAGACTCTGCTGTGCTCATGCCTCGTGTGGGCACGGGCCACGGAGCTGTATGCCAGGGTGTGTGCACCTGGCCGATCACAGCCTGGGTCTTCCTGCGCCAGTTGCTACAGGTAAAGCCAGGCCTGCTGGAGCATTCTAACAGCACCAACAAGCTCAGCCGACAGCCCCTGGAGTAGGCCTAAACTCCTGAGCAGGGAAAAGCCAAGGTCACAGGGGGAAGGGAATGGGATGACTGGTCTGTGGGTACTGATTTGTGTTTGCTTTTCTTCACAGCTTGGGAAACAGAAGAAAAAGTACATGCCATACAACCACCAGCACAAATACTTCTTCCTGAGTGAGTGTCCTTATCCAGCACAGGGGGACTCTCTTGGGATGGGGGTGCTGAAGGGATGTCAGGAAGAAATGACTTTCTGAAGGATTATGGTATTTTAAGTAAAGGCTGCAGGAAGTACCCTGTCCCCGACTGGTTACTCCCTGCATGGGAGCAGACTACCATCTCAGTTGAGCAAAGTTACAGGCTAATATTTGGTCAAGGGTCATGTGTATTGGGGCAGAGGAGTTCCTCCGGTTTCACCCTGGCTTCCACAAGAGCACTGAGCGGTCAGGTCCAGCCATCTTGATTAAACCTTAAACCTTGGGAAACAGACTTGGGCCAAGATGACTCTGTGGGTAGTCCAACACCCAGTGGCTGTGGGAGGACTGGACTCAAAAAGGAAGTGGAAAGGCTGTTAGAGCTGAAAAGGAGGATATTTCTGTGGTTGTCTTAAGCTCTCTCTGAAGGCTGTTCTATATTCCTTGCTTTTAAAATCTTCATAGTGCCTAAAATTTGAGTTTTCTAATTCCTTTAAAAATTCAAATGTTTAAAGGAAGGGAAAGGAGGATTCCATTGATCCCATTTTAGTTCAAAGGAATTTATCCTAACTGCCTATTATGAACCATCACTACTGGAGAAAGGGGATGGGTAGAAGGGTAGAGCAGAAATGTCTGGGAGAATTTTAGAATCCATGGCACATCAGGACAGAGGAGCCATAGGTGAGCACGGTCGTGCAGGGGGTTATAGGGAGCTTCAGGGCCCTGCAGAGAAGGGATACAGAAAAGGAAAGGGGACAGCATTAGGACGGGACCACTTCTTCAAATCCCTTCCCACACCTGCCCTCCAGGGCTTCAGGTTGGGAGGTACAAGGTCATTTCCCTAATCCAAAGAAGTAAGCTTTCAGCCCACTGAAGCATTAGCAGCACCCACCCCGCACCTCCCAACCCACACAAGCAAACTTTCCTGCTCCTGTCCCTTCGCCTGTAGGCAGAGCAGCCCAGAATGCAGGGCAGGTGACTGCAAGGACAGGCAGTGGCAGGCCAGGGAACACGGGGAGAATCCGCAGTGGCCTTCTAAAGGCATGGAGCTCGAGAATGGAAAAGAATGCCACTCCCACCCTCACCCTCCTGGCATCCTCTTGGGAGGTTTTGCCTTCTTCAGACTTGCACTCATGCCCACCTTCAGGGCCTGCCAGTTCCAATGGAGTGAGGAATGCCAAGGCAGCTGGAAGGGGCCACAGGAAGAGATGGCAAGGGGGCAGCCCCGTGCCGGAGGCCACCTCTCAGGCACTGAACTGCCCTCATGCTGCTCACACTTCCTCCCTGTCTCCATTTCCTTCCTAGTTGGGCCCCCAGCCTTGCTGCCTCTCTACTTCCAGTGGTATATTTTCTATTTTGTTATCCAGCGGAAGAAGTGGGTGGTGAGTATCCATAGCCCCCAAGTTCCACATCCTTTGTCTTCAGAATCCTGAGGGAGGGGAATGGGGGTTCTCCAGAGGAAAGCTCACTGAGATTTACTCCAGGCCTAATTTAGAGCAAAGTTAATAGAACTGAGTATAGACCTTCCTTGTCTCTAGATGGGATGATCTGGACTCAGCAGACAGCCTGACTCCCAACGCCCTATTTCTTTTTTTTAAAAAGATTTTATTTATTCATTCATTCATTTATGAGAGAGCACGTACACACAGGCAGGGGGAAGGGCAGAGGGAGAGGGAATCTCTCAAGTAGACTTGGTGCTGAGCATAGAGCGCCAGGCTCAGTCCCACGACCCTGAGATCATGACCTGAGCCAAAACCAAGAATCGGATGCTCAACTGACTGAGCCACCCCAACGCCCCCCCCCCCCACCACCAATGGCCTATTTCATTCAGCTGGTACCTCCTGAGGTTCTCGTGCTTGTCATAAAGCCAGGAGCCAGGCTTGGGGGTGGGGAAGAGGTAGACGCAGAAGGTTCTAGGATTCCAAAAGGGTCTTGCCTGCCTCTGGCTGGATGAGAGGCATTAGAAAAGGCTTTGTGAAGTCAGTTTTGTAGCTGGGCCTTGGAGGATGGGCAAAGGTGGGGCTGGAGGGGGATGGACTCTGGGAAGTGAGGGGCAGTTTTGGCCACTTGGACATGTTGTGACTCGTGCCAGGGGAGAATTGTGGTGTAGAAGAAGTGCTTGATCAGGGCACTGGCATAGACCGAGCCTCTGTCCTGGAAGATTCATTTGGCAGCATGATGAAGGGATAAAGAACTTTGATGGGTTGGGAGGAGCTGGAGGCAGGGAAACCCTGTAGGCCTTGGCACCTGTGAAGGAAACAGGCAAGGAGGACTGGGGGCCGCCGCCAGGAATGGAAGGAAGGAGTGGGGTGGCATGAGATATTGCAGGACTGGGCAACGAAGAGAAGCTGACGGTGACAGAATGTTCCAGTCTGGGTCCCTGGCAGAGTGGCTGTACCATGCAAATAGGTGAAACGAAAGGAAGAGGAAGAAGTGCTTTGTGCCAGTCATCATGCTCTCTGCCTCTCAATGTAGGACTTGGCCTGGATGATCACCTTCTACGCCCGCCTCTTCCTCACCTACTGGCCGTTTTTGGGACTGAAAGGCGTCCTGGGCCTTTTCTTCCTGGTCAGGTAGTATTTGATGGGGAAGGAGGGATGGCAAAGAAAAGCTGTTTGGGAATAACGAGTCTGGTCTGGGGGCTGTGCTGGGGCTTTAGGCGGCAGGGGGTGTCCCAGGTGTTGGCCTGGGAAGATGGCCAGGCCAGAGGTTATCTGAGGCAGAAGAAGAGCTCTCACTTGTACTGTTTTTGTCTGTGTGCCATATCCACCAGGTTCCTGGAAAGTCACTGGTTTGTGTGGGTCACACAGATGAACCATATCCCCATGCGCATTGATCGCGACCGGAACATGGACTGGGTCTCCATCCAGGTAAGGGACAGTCACTTGGAAGACCTGGGGATGACACAACTAATGAAAAAGGCAGGTGGGCACAGATGCAGGCTAGGGGGTGGGCGTCCCCAAACAGCACTGCCTCATTAGCTTGAAGCTTCTCTCCTGCCACCATTTGGAGAAGGGAGTGACCAGGGACCGTCCCCCCCGACCCCCCAACCCCAGCCGGCTTTGCCTGGAGACGGCTGGGTTGGCCTTTCTATCTGGCACCCAGAGCCACGCTCTCCCTGCCCTCTTCCTCCAGCTCCATGCAACATGCAATGTCCACAAGTCTGCCTTCAATGACTGGTTCAGTGGACATCTCAACTTCCAGATTGAGCACCAGTAAGTAGGGAGACCTGAGAAGCAGGGTCCTTGGGAGGGTCCCTGTGGGGAAAGCGGGGAGGTGGAAAGAGCAGAGTAGGGGCCACTGACGGTCCCGTTCTCCCTGAAGTCTTTTCCCCACGATGCCTCGACACAATTACCATAAAGTGGCTCCCCTGGTGCAGTCCCTGTGTGCCAAGCACGGCATAGAGTACCAGTCCAAGCCCCTGCTCGCAGCCTTCGCCGACATTATCTAGTGAGTACCTGAGCCTGGGAACAGGGCCGGCAATGGGGCTGGTGCTGTGTGGGGTGGGAGCAACAGGCAGGGTCCCCCCGGAATGGAGGCCACCAAGACAAAGGCAGGGTGCTCTGCTGGTCTTGCAGCCAAGTCAGGCCTTTGTTCTCAGTGCCATGGCCCAAGCTAGTTCTCAGAAGCCAACGGGAGGAAAGGGGCCATATGCCATGGAGACCAGCCTCCATTCCTCTGTAAGAGCCTCACTACATGTCTGTAGGGTGGTTTGGCTTTTGGGCCTGGCTCTGCGTGCGCGCTCGCTCTTTCTCTCTCTCACTCTCACTTCCTGCTCCCATCTTGCTCCCACAGCTCACTGAAGGAGTCTGGGCAGCTCTGGCTAGATGCCTATCTTCACCAGTAACAACCCCCCCCCCCCAATCTGGAAGAAATGCCTGTCTTCACTGATCATACCAGCCCACCTGGGAGATGAGTTTCTGGCACCAAAGCAGAGGGGAGCTGGAGGGACAATGCCACTGTAATTATAATATTGGGGGGGTGGTCTGAGGAGATAAAGGCTCAACTCAAACCTTCCCCTTTATCTTCCCGGCACAGATCTAAGACCCAAAGGGCTAGGGGGACATGCCTGCCCCCTGGAGGGAGGGAAGGAGCTACTGGGGCAGAGATGTGGGAGTTTACTTTCCTTTTTCTAGTTTGGCAGATACAGATGCTTGGTGAGCAATGAGGGAGTCGGTGTTGGAAGAATAGGGAGGACATACTGAGCCCCAAAATCAGTAAGAGATTTAGCATTAAAATTCCAGCCAGGAAAGGGGTGAGCCCATCTCACTGGTCTACTTCTCAGTGCCTTCTCCACCCTGTACTGTCTGAGGAGATAGAGTGGCTGAACCTTCCAAGCAAGATTTAGATTTGAGGCCTGGCATAGTGCACCACCTGGGAGGCTCAGCTCACTCTAGGGCTAGGTGAGACCTAGGTCTGCCTCAGGCTCCTGGAGAAGCAATTTTCCCACTTCCAGAAGCAGGCAGAGCAAAGCCAGGACTGTGGTGCTGGAAACATCTGACTTTGAAGGATCCTGGCATTATCGATTTTGAGCTTATGTTCCATCCAGGGCACCCAGGGAGCATTAGGTCGTAGTTCTTGCCAAAATAGCAAGAAGAGTTACTGGCCATTCAAAATCCCCTTCACCTTGGGATCACCTCTTGTAACCACCACTCAAGGAACAAGACTCCTAGGATGGAGTCCACGTCTTGATTCTTCATCCATAAACAAGTGAACAGATGGGGCAACTTCATCTTCTCCCTAAAAACAAATGGGGGTTCCCAGTGCTTTCCCTTTGTCTTCCTATCTGTAATTCCACGTTTAACAAAGTAGTTAGCACAAGTGACCACATTGGGAGATCCTGAACTACAGTCCTAAAGAATATAGTAGTTGTTAAGAAATGTTCTGCAACCTAAATTATGTTACAGTATTACTTCTGAGTGGGAACAGTGAATTAAATATAATCACTTCACAGTTCTAAACCAGATAGGAAGATAAAAACAGTTTGCGAAGTATCAACTCTGTTCAAGCATCTTCTCCGCTGGACACCAGGTAGGAATTTAGGATAATCTCTTAAAAAGCCTATCCATCTAATACTGAAATACAGTTTTTTGGAAAAAATCTCCTGGTTCTTAAAGGTTAACGTTTAACCCATCTCTTAAGCAAACAAAGGAATGAGCCCAGGAGTCTTGCCTTAACCCCCAGGGCTTGTCATCTGCATTCACACCCAAAGCCACAGCCTTCCCGCCAGGTGAGGGGGTCATTTGCCTGTTCATCAGCACCTACTCTTAAGCATAGAGCGTTTTGGATATGGAGAAGAGGAAACTCAAACTAGAAGGAAAAAGCAGAGCCGTAGAAGAGTCCACATTTCGTTGTAGGAGAGAATAAAGGTCATCTGCAAGTGAGCTGCGATGGGGTTAGGACATCACTTGTGGAAAGGCTGTGGGGATGACTTAGAGGCTTGTCAAAACAAAGATTAAAGAGACAACAACAGAGGCAGGACGGGTTGCAAAAGAGTTCAGCTCTTCTCCATTTGGACAGAACCTGGTTTGTAAGAGCCTGGGTAGAAAGACTAGAAGCAGAATTGAAAAGTTCTTTCATTGGCTTCCTCACTCCAGAATAGGTGCTGATCCTGCCCCATCCCTCTTGTCCCTACTACCCAAGGTTTAGGAGTCCTGTCACCAGCCTGTCAAGCCATCTGGCTGCTAATCTGAGCAAACCCAGCGAGGCGTACTGAGCCAAGTCCAGGTCCTCAAAGCACTTCAACCACTGTGGCCTTCTTTCCTTAACCTAGACCAGTGTAGTCTCACATGGCCACAGAGGGACACACCAGTGACAAAAAGGCTCAGACTGTTTTAACAGTACGATGAGTGATCTCAAATCCAAGCAATGACATGAGAAAACAAGCTTAAAGAGGACAAGTCACCCCCAGTCACAGATCGTGGCGGCATACCAACATCTGAACTCTGTTTTAGAATTCCAACCTACGTTTTTCTTTGTTAGTCTCATCTTCCCACCACTTTACTGGAAGCACGTTCTTTGATTAGGTCCCACATCTGTATCCTTTTCGTGTGTGCCAATTTTGTTACCACATCCAGACAAGGAAAGCTGAAAAATAAAGTTCACTTTGACCAAACGAAGGCTATTCATTTGTAATCCACGACTTTCTTCTGCACATGTCAATGGGACTCCCCATGCCAGTGCTGTAAGTTACCACCTACCTACCTCTATGGCTGGAACCTTCTGACCAGGAGTTCCCAGACAGACTCGTTTGCACAAGGCCTTTGGGCAGAGGAACACCTGCATCTTCCAAAAGAACACCAAGGCCCAGGTAGGCTATGGCGAGGAAGAGCAAAGCCAACCCCTTCCCAGGACCCCGTATGGTCAGGTGTTAGGCTGCGCAGATACACTAGCCAGGTGTGCATGCGTCTCCTATCACGAAGCAGTACCCTCACCCTTTCGACCTTGTTTCTAGTCTCAATACGGGTAGTCCCCAAAAGTCTCTTGTTTTGCCTGTGTCTGCAGACGCAGTGCTTCAGAGCGGGACTGCAAAGCAATGCCTTTTAACCTCAATCCTGATAGAACAGCTCCCTTTGAGCAAGAACATTAGAACATGCTAGGTAAAAATTTGCAGAACTGGTTTTCCCTGCAGTGTGCAGTGGTTAATAAACTAGAGAAGACCAGACAACTCAACTTGAAAAAACAAAAGGAGGGGCGCCTTGGTGATTCAGCTGGTTAAGCATCTGCCTTTGGCTCAGGTCATGATCCCAGAATCCTGCGATCAACCCCATCAGGCTCCCTGCTCAGTGAGCAGTCTGCTCCTCCCTCTGCCCCTCCCCCATCCTGCTCATGTGCACATGCACACTCTGAAATAAATCTTTTAAAAAAGAAAAGGGGCAATTAAAAACTTTAAAAAAAAAGGGGGGGCGCCTGGGTGCCTCAGTTGGTTAAGCGTCTGCCTTTGGCTCAGGTCATGATCCCAGGGTCCTGGGGTTGAACCCCACATCGGGCTCCTGGCTCACTGGGAGCCTGCTTCTCCCTCTCCCTCTGCCCCTGGTTGTGCTCTCTCTCTCTCTCTATCTGTGTCTCGAATAAATAAAACATCTTAAAAAGAATTTTTTTTAAAAGAAGAAAAACAGAGGAAAACCACTCTACATGTCTGACTACTACAGGGTACAAGCCCTTACCTAGAGCTACAGCACTGAGACCATCACTCCCTAAGAAGTCTTTCCACCTCTGGGCCCCATCATCATTACCACAGACTTAGATTACTTGGCACTCCCAGAAGTTGTGTGGCTTAGTCCAATCTGAGAAAACCCGTTCCATTCAACTGATGGATACAGCAGTGAACAAAACCAAGATCCCTGCCCTCAGAATAGAACTGTCTACACCAGGGGCGCCTGGGTGGCTCAGTCGTTAAGCATCTGCCTTCAGCTCAGGTCATGATCCCAGCGTCCTGGGATCGAGCCCCGCATCGGGCTCCCTGCTCCGCGGGAAGCCTGCTTCTCCCTCTCCCACTCCCCCTGCTTGTGTCCCGTCTTTCGCTGTCTCTCTGTCAAATAAATAAAATCTTAAAACAAAACAAAACAAAACTGTCTACCAGTGGTCTGGGAGTCCCCTAGTTATGAGAGCACTGTTGGGGAGACTATGTCCCACTCCTGCTTCAACCAGAGAAGCTCAAATCCTGAGGTTCCACATAAGATTTCACTTGAAAAATACGTTGCTCCATTAGAAATTTTGAAAACCACCAGTCTTTACCCGCTTAATCTGTTAGAATATTGGCAGTTTAAATTTCAGATTGCTTAAGTGTGCCTGTTAACTTCAAATGGCAGCGACAGGAATGCTAAAAAATTAGAAACTCCCCACCAAGTTTTAGCAGGATTATAAAACTTTTAAAACATTCCATCTCTATGGGAAATGGCAACCTGAATTTGATGTCACAGAAGAAACATGAAAGTCATTTCTGAAGTGCAGTTTTTTCACAATTTATAAACTGGTAAGGTAAATGCTTGGATGCTATGAAGTAGTTGGTCGAAATTGTGAGGCTTTCTCAAAGGAGTTCCTTCATCTCACACAGTAGGTGGGAAACTAGAAACCCATTCAACTTATTAAAACTTCTTTCCTAGTTAAACGAGGCGTCCTCCTCCAAATGGCTTAAGTACTGCCAAAGCGGCTTTAGCCATTCTATGGAGGGTGGCGCCATCTTGTGGCCACTCTCAAACCTCTTGTAACGGTACAAGTCTGGGATGTTCTCTTCAGCGTGAAAAGAACATTACACTGCCTGAAGCCTGGGGACACTCGAGATGTTTTCAAATGTTCTCAGAGAACGTGACATTCTGGTTACTTTTATAATTTTATTGGCTTTTCTCATATCTTTAAAACAAAAACAGCACATGAAAATAGCATCTTATCCCAAAGTCTCAACTCAGTTGACGGCCTCAGAGAGGACATTAGAATTTCGCCATCTTATGCCCCTAAATAACCAATGTGAAGACTCAAGTTACATAGCAAGTTCAAGTTTCTGCCCACCCCAGGACACATAACCAGTAATCAGACCCTTGCTGCCAACTCCAGGGACTCCAGCTCTCCCTGCCTGTCTTAGTTCTCATCAGCTCTCCCCATCTGTTAAGACTCAGACTTCCTGATGGCTGTCTCACAGGGTGGGTTAAGGCTGAGCCAGAGAGAAGTGCAGTCTGGTTCCACCACCCACTCCCATCGGCCACCAGTTGGCCAGCCAGGAAATCATTTTTGTCCAGTCTGCTATCTCTACCATTTATCTCCCACTCCCTCTTCAAAACTTGTTGCTCTCACTTTCATTTAAAAATAGATTCAGTGTCCGTAAATTGCCTGAGAGGTGTTTTGAGCCTGACATACTTTCCTGAGCTAAAAGAGAAAACAAAGTAGCTCTATGGCATTCCTGCCATAAGATCAAGTACAAAAGAGAAAAGCACTACTTGAGAAGGGTAGAGCTAGAGAAGCAATGCAATCCCCTCCCCGCCCCCAGAGGTTTCTCTAGTGCTAGCTCTTGAGGGTACCATAAGGCAGGTATTCTGGGGTCAAGGAGGTAGGAGGGAAACTCATTTATTTTCCCCTTTTGAACTTCCCTGCTGTCCCAGTCTTTGCCTTCTTCTTGGCAGATCCCTTGGGTCCGGGCTCCTTGCGCTTAGCTGAAGAGAGCGAGCCAGTCACCTTGAAGAAATCATCCAGGCGGCCCTGGGTGCTGCCTTGGCGGCTCTTGCTCAGCCGCCTGACCCCACTGCGGATTCGCTCCTCAGAGAACTGCTTTTCACCACACATGAACTTGACGAGCTCTTCTTCATTTGGCTCACTCCACTTCAGCTCCACAGACTCTGGGTCAAGCACCTCGGGCTCCAGGAAGAGCTGCTGGGCCTCCCTGTGGAGCCAATTTTCTGGCACGGGGTACTTGTTGGGGTCGAGCCGACGCACAATCTCCTCAATGCTCTTGTGCTTCTGGATGAGGTCCACAGCCCGCTTGGGCCCAATGCCCCGAATGCTCTCACAGTAGTCACTGCCCAGCAGGATGCACAGATCTACAAACTGCTCCTGGTTCAGGCCCAGCTCCTGCAGGATCCGGCTCAGGTGGAATTCCTGGATGGGCAGCTTCTTGGCCTCGCTGGCAGTCAGGTGGCGCATCAGCACGGGGCTGCCAAAGGTCAGGCAATCCATGTCCTCAGTGGCCGCGGCATAGACTTTGCCAGCCTTCACGAGGGCAGCACAGCTGGCCTCAGCCTCACTGGGCGCATCAAGGTATGGGATGCCCATGAGGCTCAGTAGATGCTTGCACTCATCACTGTGTTGCTTGGTGACCTTTACCAGCCTCTTAGTAAACTTTTCTACCTCCTCCTCGACCCCAGCAGCCTGAGCCTGCTGCAGCTGCTTCTCGGCCTCAGCCCGCCGCTCGCTGCGTTTGGCCAGCTCACCTGACTTGAGCTGCGGTGGCTTGCCGTCAAAGACATACACGGGCTTGATGCCGTTCTCCATCATGCGGATGGTGCGGTAGAACATGCCCATCAGGTGGCTGGTAGTCTCACCCTCCTCATTCTGCAGCACATCCCCACCCTGGCGCACAGCAATCAGGAACTGATAAATGCTCATAGAGGCATCAATAGCCACCTTGCGGCCAAAGTAGCTCTTGATGTCATTCTCCCGGATGGCACCAGGGGCCACATCAGCAATCAGTTTGGCCAGGCCTTGAATTCCCATAGCAACACAGAGGAGGGACAGCTAAAAAAGAAAGGAGTAAAGTAAGAAGAGGAGGAACTTAAAGGATGCATGCAAAGGATCAAGGGTTATAACTGGTGCTATGTCACCAACTTCATGTCTTCAACTGACCAAACTGAGCACAACAAAAAGGACGCCAATTTGGGACCGCAGAAGATGAAAAGAAGAACAAGACAAGGTCACCATTTGCAAAAAAACTTACTGTCTAGCAAGGGAGCCCACTCAGTTAATACCAAGGCTTCCTGAATATCGGGGAAAAACCTGGGTGTTAAGAGGAATAAGATCCTGCTGATGTCGAGGGACTTATTAAGGTTTCGTGGATAAGGCAGCAATAGGGCTCGCATGCAGTAAGGGCTACAACTGGTGTGGGAGGACGAGAGTGCATGGCCTGAGGAGCCCAGGGATCATAATGACAGAACCAAGCCCTGAAGGACAAGCAAATACTGTCTAAACAAAGATGACACAGGTACAAAAGCAACCATAATACAAGGCTGAATGTGCACAGTGGCAAAATAAACACGAGTTACCTAACTTCTTGCCAATTCATACATTCCTCCTGTATACCTTCACGCCAGTCACTGAACATCCCCAACTCTTCCTCTGGCTCCTCTTAGCAGCTGTGATGGTTAGTTTCATGTGCCAACTTGGCTAGGCTAAGGCACCCAGTTATTTACTCTAACACTAATCCAAGTGTTGCTGTAAAGGTTATTTTGTGACATCTATCATCAGTTGGCTTTAAGCAAAGGAGATTCCCCTCCAACATATGGGTGGGCCTGATTGGTTTTAAGGCCTTGGCAGCAAAAACTGAGTAAGGTTTCCCAAAGAAATCCTGCCTGAAGACTGCAGCATCACCTCCTGCATGAGTTTCTAGCCTGTGGGCCAGCCCGATCATTTTTAACCTTGCCAACCTCTTACAGTCACCTGAGCCAATTCCTTAAAATAAATCTCCTTATATACGTCCATATCCTATATCTTACTGCTTCTCCAGAGAACCCTGATACAGTAGCCCTGAAGAAGGACTAGCAAAAAACCATATCTGAATGGGAGTTATGTGGCTTCCTCACACGCTGCTGCTCGAGTCTCCCTTCAGTAATCCTTCAGCACTGAGACTGGCTTCTACTTCTACCATGAGGTTGCTAGGAATTCTTAGTCTTTCTCTTTGTATTTTCTCTCCACCACTAAGTCTGAAAATGTGAACTCCATGGCTCCTACCTGACCCTAGGTCCTGATCTAGAAGCCTGGCAACCTGTAGTTGCTCAGTCCCACATTGCACTTCTGTGGTTCAGGCCCCTTCACAAGTATTTCCTAGGGCAGTGTTTCCTGAACTTCGTTTAGACCCAAACCACCCTCACAATTTTTTGCCACTTCCATCTAAAACCTGTACTTTCATTCACTTAATATTTTCTTTAAATGGACACCATTGTTTTAAAAACTCAAGTAATTTCGGGGCGCCTGGGTGGCTCAGTTGGTTAAGGGACTGCCTTCGGCTCAGGTCATGATCCTGGAGTCCCGGGATCGAGTCCCGCATCAGGCTCCCTGCTCAACGGGGAGTCTGCTTCTCCCTCTGACCCTCCCCCTCTCATGCTCTCTCTCTATCTCATTCTCTCTCTCAAATAAATAAATAAAATCTTAAAAAAAAAAAACAACTCAGGTAATTTGAAAAAGAGAACTCCTCTTAAGCAGTAATGTCTGTGCCGTATCAGTTATATTTTGATGTGTTAAATGTGTAACCATTAAAAAGGATTTTTTGGGGGCGCCTGGGTGGCTCAGTCGTTAAGCGTCTGCCTTCGGCTCAGGTCATGATCCCAGGGTCCTGGGATCGAGCCCCGCATCAGGCTCCCTGCTCCACGGGAAGCCTGCTTCTCCCTCTCCCACTCCCCCTGCTTGTGTTCCCTCTCTGGCTGTGTCTCTCTGTCAAATAAATAAAATCTTTTAAAAAAAAAAGGATTTTTTGGGTGCCATTTAAAGTCATCTTGTGCCCACTGGTGGTATGTGTCCAACACTCCAAGAAATATTACACTAGACCTTTTCGTTGCTCCCACTTTTCACAGGATTCTTTCTAAAGCGTAAGTGACCCTGCTACATCCCCCCCCCCCTTAATTCCAAACACCTCAACCTGTCCTCAAGATCTTCCATGCTTTGCTTCCCAACCTACCTTCACAGTCTGGGGGCCAACGCCAAGGCTGAGATAAGGCCTGCCCTTTCTCACCGCTGCTCAGCCGTGCCCTCCTCCCGCCATCCTCTAGCTCTCCTGCTCGGAACCGTTCCTCCGCAGAGGTCATTCGACCCTCTGGGTCCGGCCTCAGGCTGGCTGCTTTGCTAGAAGGCTTACGGGGAGGTCAGTGCCTGCTGGCCGGCTAGCCTCCCACAGCCCCCAACAGAGGGAGGCGGGAAAGAGATCTAAACCAGTGAAGTCTCCAAAATGTCTCTCATCCAGGATCTTGGTCAAAATACACAACGGCCCCATTAAGTGGAAGCTATCTCTCCCCCCCCCAAATGAAGCAAGAGTCTCGGAGGTTAGGCGACCGGTCCAAGTCGCACAGCCGGAAGGTGGCGGGCCCGCGCTCCGGCCTTCGCCCCGCGCGCGGCAGACGGCCCCCCACAGCACCCAGAGCGAGGCGGACCCCGCCGCCCTCGAAGACACTTCCCATGGGGTCTCACCTGGCCTTTGGGGCGCGAGGTCTCGACGGCTAGCGCTCGGTCCGGTGCTGCCCAGAACGGTGCTCAGCCCCGCACCCTCCTCAGCTCCGCCGCGGGTCCGGTCGCGCTCCGCCACCTTCCAAAGCCCGCGCTCCGGTCACGTGACCCGCCGCCGCGCACAGCCTCCTGGGAAATGCGGTGCAGGGCCCGACCCCCTCGGCCAGCTCGCCTTGTGGCAAACAGTCCCGCCGGGGAGAACGAACCCTCTCAGCGGCTCTGCCCTACCCTTCCCTATCGCTTGCCCCAGTTCCACATCAGGGGCTCACAGGTCCCAGCCCCAGCTACACCCTGACCCACGGGCCTACAAATCCCACAATGCCACTCGCGCGGGCGCACTTCCTCTTCCGCTGAGCGGGGCTCCTGCTGCGGCCGACGTGTTATTCCGGTGGCGGAGCGGCGGATGATCCTGTGCCTGGCAAAATGGTGAGGGGGTTGGGGCGTTCCGGGCAGGGCTGTGAGGACCCCTTGGGGCCCGTTCCACACCCCGTTTCTCTCGCGAAGGCCTCTGACGCCCGAGATCCAGGCAGCGGGAGGCTCCTGTGTCCTCCGGCTTGGGCGGAGGGACGGGAAGGGAAGCCCCTTGCCCTGGACTCGTTAGGCTGAGGTTTTGATCTCGCGACTTTTAAGGGGTGAGGCGTGTGAGGTGCATTTTTAATACCTTAAGCTTTTATTCCTGCTACCTGTGATTAAGCTGTTATCTCTATTTGGAAGTTTCTTCCTCCTGCTGAACTCCTACTCATCCTACAAAGCCCAGGGCAGATGTCAACCTTCTTGGTGAAGCACGTCCAACTCTCTCAGGCACTTGGCCGCTGTCTCCTGGGAGCTCCCACAACCTCTGTACAGACCTCTTGCCACATGTCACGGTCTTCTTTGTTATCTGCCACGCCTCCTAGTGACCACCATCTGACGTGCATCTAGCCCTGGGATGATGTCTATTCATCTTTGTGTTCCCAGTGCCAAACACAGGGCCTGCAATTGGAGGCCCAATAAATGGCAGCGATTGTCTTTATCATTTTGGGGGGGGGGAGGGGGCATAAATGTTTACTGAATTGAATTCCAGTGTCTCTTAGAACAATGGGGTCAATTTATTTCTCTAGAGTTGTTATGTTCTGGACTTTAGGACCGTTGGCTGGTGAGTGACAATAGAAGTCAACATTTGTACAGAACTTTACGTTTACAGCCCTCCTTCACAAGCATTATCTCATAATCTTCCCTGTAAGCTTGGGAAGGAAACAAACACCTTTTGAATGACTACTCTATGCCAGGAAGTGAGCTAGATGCTTTGACGTTCGTCATCTTTCTTAAATCACACATCAACTCTGTGAGTGGTGTTATTATAACTATTTTACTGAGATTCATATTATTCAGTAGAGCCAGATTATTAACTGAAGTCTTTTGCCAGTAGATCCTGAGATTTCACAATAGCGTAGCGTGAAAATTAGAGATGTAGAAGTTGAGATTGGGTCCTGGCCCAGGCTCTGAATTACAGCAGGATTCTGAGCTTGGTGTCTACAGACATGGGTCCATAAAGCTCCTAAAATTATAGGCAAACTTTTTCTTGCTTCTGGTTTACCCTGGGCAGGGTCCATACTTTTTTTTCATAGTCATCAGTGGTCTCAAAAAATGTTAGGGACCCCTGATCGATAGCTAATCCATCACCTTCTGTGTCAGCCTCTGACTCTCAGCTGCCCTTCTTGTCTCATACTGAAAAAGCAAAGCGTCACCTTAGTTTAAGATGTCATTGTTATCATTTACAAATGGAATCGCTTGACGTTGGTTCTGAAGGACTTCCGTATTTCCCAGGCTGAAACAGACCTTTAACAGTCCTAGAGGAGGAGGCTCCTTGATGACCTCACACTCCCCCTCAGGATTAAGTCGCGGGATTCTTTGATAGCTCTGATCTCATGCCCTCCCTTAGGAGCTCGAGGCCATGAGCAGATATACCAGCCCAGTGAACCCTGCTGTCTTCCCCCATCTGACCGTGGTGCTGTTGGCAATTGGCATGTTCTTTACCGCCTGGTTCTTCGTGTATCCTTTTACTGAGCAGCCAGTGGGCCAGAATTAGCAGTGTGGGAAACCGAGGGAGAAACCATGCTGGGTACATGCACCCTGCCAGTTTTGCTCTGGTGTGGGGGTAGGGGGAAGGTAAGGAGATTGAAGAAAAGCTGTTGATGTCCAAGGTCAGGTGCTGGCCTTATTTCCCAAGTTCAGGGGAGCTCAGTTTGCTCTTCAGATTTCCAGGATAGTGAACAGAAGGCCTGGCCGGACTGGAGGTTGGGGATAGGGAATCTGAAGTTGGGCAAGTGGTAAAAGGGTATGCTCAGGCGGCAGGAGATCTGAGGGTTAGTGCCAGTTCCACTGGTCACTAGCTGTGTGACCTGGGGTAAGTGACCTAACCCCTCTGGGCAGATTTTCTCCATGGGTGGTTGAGGGCTGGTATGAAGCAACAAGAGTCCAGGTCGTCTCTCAGGCCCCTCTTCCTGGCGACACTGAGCCAGGCAAGCCTTCTAGAAGGCTCACCCTGTACCTTTTTCCCAGAGCTGCACTGGCCAGGCTTCCTGTCCTAGGCAGTCCATCCCTTCGCTTCTCCTTAATCACCCTGCCAGTTATGAGGTTACCTCTACCAAGTACACTCGGGATATCTACAAAGAGCTCCTCATCTCCTTGGTGGCCTCACTCTTCATGGGCTTTGGAGTCCTCTTCCTGCTGCTCTGGGTTGGCATCTACGTATGAGTTCCCAAGGGTAAGAGCTGCGAAAAGGTGGGCACTACAGAAGCTTCCCACGTCTGCATCAGCAGGGTCCTCAGGCCTGTGGAAGACTTCGGTTAATGGTGACAGACTCAGCAGAGTGGAGAGGGACACCAGGCACGTGTGCCTCTTTCCCTGTCCCAAATGGGGATCTGAGACCTACATTTTCATTCTGAGTTCTGCACACGGCCCGGGGCTTTGGGATACACTTCATAGGGCTGTGCGCACAGTCTTCCCATGTTAGACATTTGCATCCTTACACATCATACACCATTGACCTGGCGAGGCTGCTTGGGAATGGATTAGAAGGGGGTCAGAATCTAGGAGTACCATTGTGGTTAGTTTGAATGTTTTCAGTGAGTAAAATAAATCTTGACTAAGTGATTAAAAAAAAACCCCAAAACCCTTGCTGCAGATAATCCACTGAACAGGTCACTGAGAATCGGCTTTGGTGGCTCAGCTTCAGAGTAGTGTGCCCATCAGCCCTTGCCCCAGGAGCACAGGGTCCAGTGAGAAAAGGAGGTGGAAAGAAGGGTCATCGGTCTCATTTTGATACCCCCTCTCCTCTTTCAGGTTCCAACCAGGAGCTTCACTGAATTCCTGCTTTTGTAAATTAATTTTTTTACTGTTGCTGGAAATGTCCCACCTGCTGCTCCCAATAAAGGCAGATGTGTGACCGTCTGTCTGGCACCCATTCCGCAGGGGTGGAGCGGTGGGGGGGTGGCACCGGGACCCATGTGACTTGCCCGGTCCCACCCCTTCCCATCTTTCTTCTGCCTTTCAGATGGTTCCTCCTGCTGGGAAACCCTGCTTTCTCTATGTGTGAGGGGTGAGGAGGGTATGGGAGGGGTGTCTGTCCTTGGAATTTAAAGCTCTGTGGATAGGAAGGGGCCAGGCCTATCCTCTTCTGTTGTTTTTAGAGCAGACTTGTCTGAGAACCCGCACCAGTCAAGTCTGCCCTGGGCCAATCCCATCCTCTAAATGTAGGCACCCTTCTGTGTGCTGGGGACCTTCACAAGGCTCAGCTTGTGCCCAGAGGTTGTTTATCCTAGGGTGGCTCCTTTACCCGGGGGGAGGGCGGGGGGGGGGGGGCAGCAGTAGGTCCATGGGATGTGGCCAGGGGAGGGAGCTGCTGAGTCCTGTTCCCAAGCCTAGCATGAAGCTAAGAAGGATAATGGGATACAAGGCATTCATCTGGCTCAGGAACCCCAGAACTCCAGTTGGTCTTAGCCCCACAGGCAACTCCATCTTCTACCACAACAGTCTCAAGAAGAGATGGGGAGGCAAGGTCAGATACAAAGCCATGTTTTTACATTTATTTATATATGTATATTTACTTCAGAAGGAAAGAACAGGGACAGGAAGCAAGCAGGCCCAGGGCTGCTTCCCTCTGCCCACTCCAGAGTCAGAGTTGGTACATGATAAATACGAGTCAGCACTCAGGAACAGGAACTGGGGGTTAACTGGGAGGGAGGGGCGCTCTATGCACATGCAGGCTTTTGGGGGGGGCACAATATGGGCAGAGGAATTTGTGCATTAAGAGGCCCTATGTACAGCTTGAAGCTTGGGGGAGATTAGCCCAGTGGCTCCAGGAATAAATGCCAAAGGGAAGGGAGGGATGGCTGCTGGACCCCATGTAGGGAATGGAGCCAAGACCCCCACTTACCAGTGCCAGGCAGGCAGCTGTCAGCCTCCAGCAGGTGACCCACTCCCCTCCCCTGAAGCCCTTTTACCTTCATGGGCTTAAGGCAACTTTGGTCCAAGGTTGACCCCCCACCCACCCCCCCAAGCAGCTTGGAGCCCCAGCTTGGCCCCAATCCTTGCACTGAGGACCCCTCCTCAGGCATGGAAACAGCCGGCTGCTACCAGATTGGGGCTACGCTGTGTCTGGAAGGGCTCCAGGGGGCAATGGAGGGTCACTTTCCAGTTAAGGACTGAGGGACCACAGTCCAACGACAGGCACCCTCACTGAGGAAGCCCCAGAATCCTATTGCAAAGGGTGGGGCTCAGCAGTTTTAAGGCATTTAGGGAGGGTTCCCCGCCGAGGGGGACAGTGGAGAGAGAACAGAGTAGTCCTGCGGAAGGCCTGGCTCCCTGGCTCCCTGCGTGGTGTGGGCAGCCACGTAATTCCTATGTTAGAATGAGGGAGGGGAGCCACACTGAGGAGGGAGCTAGGAGGCGGGGTGTCCCTCTCCCCCAGCTCCCCTGAGGATAAGTGCTTTGAGACCCACGGCAGAAGGGGGCCCGCACTTCACAGGCTTCTTCGAGATTGCAGCTCCCCACAGAAAGGCCTCCCATTCAAAGCTGAGAATGAGAGGGGTAAGGCCTGGTTCCCAGAGAGGTGGCAGAACACCACAGGGCAGGGATGGCAATTCCTGTTCCCCTCATTGAACCTGTGTAGCCGTGGCTAAATGATTTCCACACTCCTTTGAGCCTGGATGTGGCCTCAGAACACTCCAGGCTCCCACCAAGACCGGTTACTTTAACATTGGCACTTGAGTTAAGACTTCTTCGGTAACGCAAGCCCATTGCTCCACGTCCGGGAGGAGAGGGCGGAGATGGAATCTGCTGCCGAGCCCGACATGGGAGCCCTTGATTTGGGGAGACAAGGTTGCCAGCAGACAAGAGAGGAGGGAGAAGCCAGAGTCTTAGTGGTTGGGAGTGAGATGGGTGTCTCAAGCCTCCCTGGGGTGGATCAGAGCGAGGGCCCTGTCTTTGTGTTTCCCCAGGGCTCTGCACCTCTCTGGCCTTTCCATCTCCATCCTTCCACTCGTGCCCTGGCTTAAGTGCATTTTAGTAATTACTTCATTAATAACAGCAAAAGCTATCTGTCTCCACGCACCAGCCAAGACCAGCCTGCTGCCTTACAGGGATTCCTGCTCCTCTGCTCAGAGAGAATGATAGGTCACTGATACCACTGCAAGCTCTGGAAGCTCCCAGAAGCCCAGGCCATGGGGCCACAACACCCAGCTGGGGGAGCTCGCAGGGAACTTCCAGGATACTCCAGGTTCAAGGGCCCAAGGGTGACCTGGCCCCCTGGCCCCCCCACTGGTTCAGCCAGGCACTAAGTATACATAAGGCACATGGTCAGTCTTTGCAACCTCTCCAGAGCTGGCTTCAGCTGCCCTGGGAGCTCTTGGGAGCCAGTGCTCCCCGGGAGAAGACACCTCCTGGGCCACACTTAAAGCTTCAAAGTCCCAAGTCCAGCGTAACAGTCAAACCCCAAAAAGTCCACTACCTCGCCACCCCCCAGGGAGCAGCTTCCAGGGTGAGGGCTGTATGCTCTCCGCTGACTCATGGATCCAGCCAAGTCTTTTAGGGCTCCAGCCAAGTCCCCACTCCAGAAGAGGGGTGGCTCGCAGTCTCAAGGGGAGAGTGGGAGGATAGGCTCTGGACGGTCACAGGCTTACCCTTGCCTCCAGGGCCCCTGCAGCCAGCCCTCCAACCACCATATCTGGACAGATACGACGTGGTCCGGTCCTGGCCCCAGGGGGTCTCTCGGGCTCCCCCTGTGGTGTGTGAGGGGCGACCAGCAGGAACAGCAACTCCAGTGTGAGGACTCCGACGAGTTTCCCCAGTTGTGGGGAGGGCCAAGCCCGATTCAGTCTCTCCGAGGGAGCACCAGCGAGCGGCAGAGAGCTGGCGGGCGGCGGGCTCCAGTGTAACGCCATGGCGTCCAGTGTGGAAGGGGCGCGGGGCCCCGGCCCGGGTGTGGTGCCGCCTCCGGGAAGGCCGCTCAGTCACACAGGCGGTAGAAATGGAAGTAGTAGTCCGTGGCCGGCCGGACCGGGGCCTCCGTGCTGCAGTTGGCCTGACCCTTGCGGGGGAGGGCAGCAGGAACGGGTGAGATGGCTCGGGGTGCAGGACAGGAAGCAGTCCCCCCCCCGGCCACATCACCCAGCATTGCGCCCCAGGTCTTGCCATGTGCTCTGGGAACCCCCACATCCTTTCCCCAAGCCCCACACTTGAGATGCAGGTGCCCGGGCCTCTGGGGACAGATGGGGTGCCTGTACTCACCAGCAGGGCCACCCGGAAGTGGTAGGTGAATTCTCGGAAAGACAGGATTGTTACTGGCCACTGGTGGGAAGTGCCCTGGAGAAAGGGGAGAGGGAGGGGTGAAGACAGCCCCCTGGCCCTATCCCAGCCAGGAGCCCTGGGCTCCAGGGCAAGTGTTAGGGAGGCTAAAGTCAGAGCTGGGAAGAGAAAGGGAGGCAGCACGTTCTGCTTTGGGGAGCAGTGGCACCCTTTACGCAGACTCGGAGCCAGGCTCACGCAAGTCCAAAGCTGCCCTCCCCTGGTCCCTGCCTTGTCCCTTGCTGCCTTCCCTCCCCGTTATGCTCCGGGCACGTCAGAGTATTTCATGAACCCCATCCTCACCCCAACCCAGTAAGGTGATGCTGCTTATCGATGAGGAAGCTGAGCTATTGCTTGAATCACACGGCACCGTGTGGCAGAGCAGGGATTGACACACAGGCCCCCGCGCTGTCATGCTCTCTCCCTTGCATGGGAGCCTGAGGCCCGCCTTCAGACAGCTTGCCCATGTCCCGGCTGAGGCTTTGGCGTGGCCTCCCCATATGTGGCCCCGGGCCTGAGCTCCGCATCCTGAGAGCGGCTGGCTGGGCTCTCCCTCTACGCGCGGGTGCGCTCTCCTCTGCCTGCGCCTCTTTCGAGGCTCTCACCCACTCAAGTGACTTTCTGCACATCTTCCCGGCTAGGGAGTGCATTCTTCCAAGGCAAGGCCTGGGTCCACCCCCACTCCTCGCCCGCCTGCCCCCCGCACCCCCATCTCCCCACAGATGGGCCCAGCACAGGGCCTGGGACAGAGGAACCCCAATACATTTTTGTTGAATAAACATGAATTGGTGAGAAGAAATTCCCTTTACTTGTGCGGAGAGTCACAACTTGGGTCACATGGGGGTCACGTGGCCAGTGAGGAGCTGGACAAGGAAAGGGTCATGGTCATTTGGTTCTCAGAGCAGGAGGTAGGCCTCTACAAGGTGGGCTGAGAGATCTTCCAAAGCGGAGGACTGAAGCATGCCACTGCCCAGCCTGAGCTTGAGGACCAGGCTCCTTCCTGTTCCCCAACTCCTAGCCTTTTGCGACGTGTCCAGCTCTGCCAGAAGGCCACACATTCCCTGGCCTCCAAACCTCTGCACGTGCTGTTCTGCTCCTGGGACAGTGTCCTCTTTTCTTTGTCCAGCTGACCCCAAATCATGCCGCAGGTTTCGTCTTCATTAAACATGACTCTCGGGGTGGCTGTTCTGACCCTGAGCACAGACGAGGTTAGCTCTCCCTGCCAAGGATCTCTAGAATACCCTCCTCATCCCCACCACTGCGTTCATTCCAGGTTAGTCCTGGTGGAACTGTTTCCTTGCCAGAGGCTCTTGGCAGGGCAGGGCTGGCGATGGGGCAGAGCAAGGACAGGGCCGGGAGATGTTCCGCAGTGAGCCCAGAGGCCCAGGCCTTAAGGGTCCCTTGTGGAGATGCCTTCACTCTGACTCCCGGCTCCTTCTTTTCACCTGTTTGGGGGCCCAGTTGTGCCAGGGAAGATGAAGCTCTGGGGCCTCACTGGCCCCCAGCTTCCCAGTCGCCTCCTACCTGGGTGTCCTGGTAGGTGTGCAGGCTCTGTGGGAAGCCCCCCTCCTCACACGGCTCGTCCTTTGACATCAGGCTGCACAGCGCCACAGACACGGGAGACGAAGAGCTGGGGGAAGGCCCAGTTAGTGGGGAAGTGGGGTTCCGAGTTCCTCAACCCCAGCCCGCCCCAGCCAGCCCTCCACACCACCTCCCCTGCCCCGCTGAAAACAAGCCACGAGTCCTCACACAGCCCGGAAATGATGCCTCCTGGTCAGGCCCTAGACAGCCCCTTCCCATCTACCATCCCACGTGGTCTTCACACCCGTGAAGCAACAGCCATTTCTAGATCAGGAGCTGAAGCCCCGAGACCGCCAGGGTCACACAGCCAGTCAAGCACAGAGCAAGGGATGAAGCCACTCAGCGTCCCTCCTCAGACCCCTTCCCCGAGTTGCCGCGGACTGCCGCGTCTCCACTGCCCCGTGCCGGCACTCACTTCATCTGCAGAGTCAGGCTGAGGTGCAGCGGCGTGCTGCTGCTGACAGGGATGTGGTAGGTGAAGTTTCCAGGCCTGCAGGGGCAAACACGGCTCCTTGGACCAGGGCTCCCTGCTGAGGCCCCTTGCCTGCACACCCCAGCCCCAGACCGGTACTGAAGCCCGTGGAAAGGGGCTGCCCCACCTTGGGGGGGTGCAGGGGGACGGCATCTGGGCACCTGAGGGACTCTGTCCTTGGGGTGAAGGGAGGGAGCCAGGCCCACCTGCAGGCATGCCCTGGAGCGCAGTACTGGGAAGTGATGGGCATTGAAGTCTCCAGCACCTGGATGGAGGTCAGGGAGGGCACTGGGTCTGCAAGGAGAGAGGCTGTGGGGGCAGGGAGGAGGGTGACAAGGCAGGATACAAATCAGCAGCAGCCAAGCTGTTCCTTGCTAGGCTCGCATTCAGTCACTCACACCTTAGTATAAGTTAGTTTCAGGTTATTCTTTCCACCACCCTCTTCCCCCGCGACACTACGCAGAGCCGCTTCCCGTGAGCCTGAGGTCTGCCTCCTTGACAGAACCTGAACACCAGGAGCAGGGACAGGTCTTCAATATCCTTTGCCAGGGGCTTATAGGAGCCTGCTCGCAGTCCTTTTTCCTGACTGCACACATCTCCAACACATTCAGTTCAGCGGCATCAAGTTGGTAGCTTGAAGTCAGCCACAGTGGGAGCAGTCACCACAAATCAGGGCTTTTTTCCCCCAAGAGCCAACTGGTAAACACCTACCAGCACCCCACTCGTGAGGGCCTGTGGCCTTCTGTGGATAAACCCACCACAGACTGGCTGGCTGGGTGGGGGTGGGACTGAAGTGTGACATGGCGGGTGGGGGAGACAAGGCTTTCTTGGTCATCTACGGGCTGGCTGCGCCTGAACCGCTCCTCCTCCCCACCAACTAGGAAGGGGAAGCTGGGGCCACAGAACATCTGCTCGACCTGGCACGTTTTCAGCTCTGTGATGCACAACCCAGGCACGCGAGGACCCCCCACAGGACCCAGCATGCCCCTGGGGTCACGGACAGATACCTAGATACAGACAAGATAGAAGGTACCCTTCTCGTCTCTCTTCTGGGCAAACTCCTGTGGTCCTTCAGAGACTCAGCTCCAATGTCACCTCCTCCAGGGAGGCCTTCCTGATCACCTCCCCACCTCAGCCTGGACGAAGTGCCCTCCCCAGTCACCAGGCTGCCTACCCATCCCCTCAGAGCCCCGTCACGCTACTACACTACTGTGTTCTCAGGTCTCTGAGCATTTCGGGGTCAGGGCGTGCCTGTCTTCATCACCCCCACACCCTGCACAGAGCCGGCCACAGAGCAGGAGCCTCTGGGGTTTCCCCATCACTCTGAACCTCAACCTCAGCGAGTCACCGTTCCTAAGCTTTTTTTTTTTTTTTCTTTAAGCCACAAAACCCATCAAATGAAAGCTGATAAGGAGGCCCAGTACCTAGAGCAGAGCCACCCGGCTGAAGCCCAGAAGGCCCCTGGCCTCCTCCGCAACCTCCGCGGCCCTGGCATCAGGCCGACGTGGGGTGGGATTCCAGCTCTGCGGCTGCCCGGCCACACGACCTGGCTCCGTTTCCCCATCTGAACCGTGGGGATGAGCCCTTCCTTGCTGGGATGTGTGAGCACTGAATGAGGCGAGCTACATATGGCCCCCAGCCTCATGGCTGAGACTGCACAACGCCCAGCGAATGGCTGCCGACGGACAGCCCTGCGCCAGGCCTTCCGGAGCCTGGGCTGAGTGGTGCCCTGGCCAGGGAGCCTCGCTGGCTGAGCTGAGAAGATGAGGGGGCAGGTAGGGCAAGTACCTGGCTGGCCCCGGGCCTGAGTGGGCTGAACGGGGCTCAGGCCAGGCTGGGGGGCCCCTCGGCGGGTCCGGCCATGGAGACCAAGGCTGGGGCTGTTCTTGGCTTTGCCTTGCCCTCCAGGGAAGGGGACCGCAGGGCTGGCCAGAGGCTCGGAGCTCTTTGGATGCTTGGAGTGGCCAATACCATTGGCTGACAGGCTCCAGGACTTGGCTCTGATGTTGGTGACTGGCAGCAGGGCCATCTGGCTGGGGCCTGTGGAAAGAATGAGGGATAGGCTGAGCAGAGGGAACTGGCTGTCTCCTGTCCTGCTTTCTCTAACACTTCAGCAGACTCTGGGTGACGCCCCTCTGTCTTTTCGTCCCCTCGGGGAGACCCACCAATCTCTCCAGAGCCCCATTCTGGGCTCCAGGATACCCTCCCCCCAATGAGACTTCGGGGCCTTTCTCGGGACTCACATAAAACCCCCTCAACCCAAACCCTGGACCCGGGATAGCCATACCTGAGCGGTTGGTGGACGGGCTGGGACTGGGGCTGAGCCCGTGGCCAGGGTTAAAGCTGGGGCCAAGACTCGGGGCAGCGATAGGGCTGGGGGTGGGCGAGGAGCAGCAGACGACTGGGCAAGGGCGGCTAGAGCACAAGTCCAAGGTGGGGATGACCGGACCTGGGGCCGAGCTGGTCGGGCCAGTGGCAACTGAGGAAGCCGGAGGCTGTATGAGCTACAGGCGGGCAGCTGAGTCCCCGCCCACAACACCGCTCCCTTCCCCCACCCCCACCCCCCAGACCCCCCAGCACGCACCCAGCAGCAAGGAGGGCAGTGTGCCTGGCAGCCCAGTGGTCCCGGGGGACTGTCGGAGCTGGGTGGTCCCGAAGCTCTGGCTGGACCTGCTGGGGAGGGGCGAGCTGAGCTCAGAGGGACTGCCAGAGCCTGAGCAGGGAGGCCTGGGAGTCCCAGAGAAGTGGACAGGAGAGACAGAAGGGACAGGAGGAGGTGGACAGGAATGGCAGAAAACAGGCAGGGAGCTGGATGGCAGGAGCCAGAGGTAGGAGGGAGGGGGCTTGGTCCAGACACGTACCATGGGCACATGGCCTCACTCCCCCCAGGGTGCTGGGGCCGGAGCAGGGCCAGAAGACAGGAAGTGGACACGGCATAAGAGCTAAGGGGCGGCAGAGAGGAAAAGGACGGGGGGGACAGGTGCAGGGGAGGAGAGAGAAAAGACACGGTCAGAGATAGCCTCGGAGCTGAGGTGACAGTGGGCAGACAGAGCCCAGGGTCCCACCCTGGCCCTCCTTCCCTGCCAACTCCCCCTTCCAACCTGGGCCCCTCAGATGCCCCCTGACTCGCAGAGGCCCAGCTACCTCAAGGAGCACTGAGTAGAAACATTGGCTTCAGCAGGGACCGCGAAAATGCTGCCCCTCCTCCAGGGAGACCTTCCCACCCGGCCCTGCAAGCCCGGGCGGGCTGAGAGCCTGAGGCGCGGTCCCCTTCAGAGGAAACAGCTTCCACAGCTCCGCTGCCCCTGGGCTGCCCACCAAAGCCCCACCTGTCCTGGCAGCCTGGCCGGCAGCCAGGCCTCCAGTGACATACCCATCAGTTTCTACCAGGTCCTCCTCGGTGCGCAGGCTCAGCACGTATAGTGTGGACATGGACACCACGCTGGGAGCCACAAAAAAGGGCCACTGTTAGAGCTGCCACCACGGTCCCCGCCCTCTCTCTAGGGCAGGGTCTGTGGACCTCGGCTCCAGGGGCTGGGCTTGCGAATGAATGATGCCTCTCCACGGTCTCCCCCCGCCCTCGGGGCATGGGACAGAAGGAGGCAGCCCGCTTCCTTCCCTGAGACCTCAGCCAGGTCTCATCTCCCAGCCCCAACTTCCTCCTCCTCCAGGCCTGGGCCCAAGGGCAGCTCACCTCCCCCCAGCCAGCCACGCCTGGAGCCCTGGGCACAAGTCACCTGAAGGCCATGACCACCACCAGGGCAATGATGGTTCCCTGCAGGAAGCGCTGGCTGATGCAGGCCTGGTCTGGGACCACAGAGGATGACTGAGGACCGACAGGAAAAGGGGAAGAAGCAGAAAAGGCCCAGACTTAGGGAGCCGTGGTGTCCCTCGGTGTGGGCTCTGCTGGAGGGGGTGGTGTTAAGGTCTCATGCCTACGGTGGGAGTGAGGGGATGGACAGAGGGAGAGGAAGGAGAAACGGGGCCAGAGAGCTAGAGAGCTGGGAGGAAAGAGGAGCCCTCGCAGTCAGAGAGCCTGGAGAGCGAGGGCCCGGCCCAACGTGCCTCCCCTCTCCCATCCGTGCCCACCCTCACCTTGCTGGCCACCTTGGGGGGCCTCTTCTTGTGGGGGACACTGCCCGCCCGGCTGAACTGGCTCCCTGCACGGCTGCAGCAAGAGGGCCAGGGTCAGAGGTGCCTCTGGGAAGGGGGTCTTGCCCCCGCCTGGCCCACGCCCCCACCTGAAGGCGCCCGAGCTGCCCGTGGACTTGAGGCTGTCCAGCCGCCGCAGCTTGGCCAGCTTGTGGCTCCAGCGCTCTAGCTCGTCAATGCGCGTCTCCAGGTTGTCCGTCAGCTTGCACAGCTCCTTCACGGCACCCACGTTCTCCATGAAGATGCGCTCCTGCCACGGGCGGTGGGCGCCGTCAGCCCCTGGGGAGCCCTGGGCTATGGGGAGCGGCCGCGGGGAGGCCCTCCAAGCCTCCCTACCCAGGCCAGCCCTAGCTCCCCCAGCTTCCTGTGCCTGCCTCCAAACAGCTGCCCCACCTCTGCACCATTGCTTGGGCCACCCGTCCAGCCGGAACGGCCCTTCCTGCCCCTTCGGAACAGTCTCTCGGAGGCGCCCAGCCTCTGATCTCATGAACGTGGGGTCGCACGCTTTGGCTCCTTAGTATTCAGCCGAGGCCAAAACCTAGGACTTCACCCTCACCATAAGCCATGTTTAAGCTTTGCCATAGCCACCTGAGAGGGTCTTGGCAGTGACTCTTTAACCTCCTTTCGAAGGGGAGGAAAATGACCCCCGGTGAGCTTCGTCTTGCTGTAGACCACACAACAATAGTGTCGCCAAGTCCCCAGCTGGCCCTTGGATGCTCACCCCCTTCCCTGGGGGGTGGGGAGGGGGCTCTGGACGCATGAGAGAAGACTGGGCTGCCCTCGCCCCCTGCACTTCAACGCTCCCAGTCTCCAAGGGGGAGATGAATGCCCTCCAGCTGGCCCACCCCCTGCCCTTGGGCCCTCCAAGTCCTCCCACCCTGCAGACCTTGTTCACCACCAAGAAGTTCTCTATGGTTTTCCCATTGGCAAAGACCAAGTCTCCAGTGTCCTTCACGGCCTCAGGCAGGATCTCCTTCACTTCCTGGGCGATGACACCTGGGGAGTTGGGGGGCAGCGGAGTGGGGTGGAGAACGCCCACAGCACCATCATGTAAGGAGGGGGCCCGGTTTGAGGAGGGTGAAATTCTGGGGGCTAGAGATTTGGGATCCAAGGCACCCTGGAGCAGGGAGCTCCGACGGACAAGTGTTCAGAAGGTTGCAGTTCCGGGGCTCAGGTATGGGGTTCCCTGGCCTGGGGCAAGGGTGGATTCCTGGGAGGAAGGATCCCAGTGGAAGTGGGCAGAGATAAAAGCAGGATTCACCTAAAAAGCCGAGGATCCCGGGACCAGGATTCCCGGACTTCTAGTGTCAAGGGGGTAGCTAGCCGACACCCGGGGAGGCCCGATTTTCCAAGGGCTGAGGGGTGGGGCTTCTAGAGGGCAGGATTCCCTGGGTAGGAGTTCCAGGAGTCAAGGAGAGGGGTGCCTGGGAGTGGGGTTTCCAGAGGGCTGGGACAGGGGGCGGGGTGACTGAGGGCCGAGGTTGCCGGGTTCCCGGACCCCAGCCCCAGTCCGCGCAGGCTGGTCCCTACCGGTCTCTGGTGCCGTGGCCTCGATGCCCGCTGTGGCAGCAAACTCCGGCTTGTATCTGTAGTGCACCAGCCGCATGCGCGAGATCCTCTTCAGCTGCTCCGTGGTGTCCACCTGCCCGGGAGCCAGGACCGAGACTGAACCCCTTCCCTCCTGGGCCCATCCGAGGTGAGCCCCGGAGGTGTAGACGGCGGCCGCCCAGGCTCTGCGGTGTGGCGGGGAGACCCCTACCCTAGGGCCTGCCTCCCTCACCTCCTTCCCCTGCCGCCCGGCCCTTCCACCTGGCCCCGCCCCCACGAGCCCCGCCCCCTCGCCCTCCGCCCCTCCCGCGGGAACTCCGCTCTCCCCGCCGCCCGGCCCCGCCCCTCGCCCACAGCCCCGCCCCCACCTCCTGCACGTGCTCCTTGGCCCGCAGGTCCGAGGGGTGCATGAGCGAGCCCATGACCTTGACGTTGCCGTGCACTACCAGCGCCTCGTCGGGCCGGTCCGTGTTGATGCCCACACGGCCATGATGGAAGACAGTGTCGGGCACCTGCGCCCGCTGCCACAGCACGTCGCTGTCACTCTCAAACTGGCCTGGGTTGGAGGCCTAGCACAAGTGGGCGGGGGTTTGGGTCAGTCCCAGGGCACGGGGGACCTGCAGTGCCCTGGGCAAAGGGGAAACCCTGCAGCTACCCCTCCAGCTCCAGGCAGGGTTCCTCACCCTACCACGCCCAACTTAAACTGCCCCTCCCACTGTGGCACCTTTCAGTCACTCCTGGGATCTCAGAAGGCTACCCGGGCCTTGTCCACCTCCACCCTTGTGAAGGAGACACTGTGGCTCAGCGGGTGGGTGGGAACTTGCCCGAAGCCACCCAGCTAGGGCCTAGCAGGATCAGCACTCTAGCTCCTGACTGCCCAGGACCCCAGTGTTTTTCCTGGGCGCTACCGCTCCCAGCTCTGGGGAGGACTCTTGATCCCTTGGAAGGAGGTAGCCCTCACCCTCACGATGATGCGCTCTGAGATTTGAGCAGCCAGCGTGTAGTTCTGGTTCTGGGCGTGGGCCTGGAGGGCCACCACCAGCATGAAGTACCTGTGGCACACAGGGGTTTAGAGGCACTGGGTCCTGCTCCAACTGCCCCTGCCCGCCCACCCCCTTCTCCCCGTCCCATGTCTGCTGTACAGTGCCCGGGCTCCCAGCACCCCAGCGGGGAGAGGGCATTAACACCTCATCCTACAGAGGAGGAAGCTGAGTCTCCACCAGGGGGCAGAAACTCCCCAGGGCCCACATCGAGGACACCGGGAGCTGCTCATCCAGAAGCCAGGCTTCTGCTCTCTCATCCTTAACTCCATTAGCCTTAGCTGGGAGGCTCAGGTCTCCCTTCTGTAAAATGGGTCAGTGTGTGGGACACTGCGACAGCAGGTGGTGTCTTCCTGCCCCTCCTCCTTAGAGATGGAGGGCCCGCCAGGGCCGGGGTGCAGCCTGCTCACCTCTGGTCAGGGTTGGGTTTGCCCTTCTTGCGCATGTTGTTGGCAGTGGTCTCGCTGAAGTGCAGACGGCCCACAGTCACCTTCGTGACCTGCTCAGGGGGCAGATTGACCCTGCAGAGGAGCGGCAGGGGACTCAGGACGCAGGGAGGGGGGCTTCCTAGAGCCAGGCGCCCAGTCGGGAATGCGCGGGAGGCAGATATCGTGGGTGCCTGCCTGGCCGCCTCAGCTCCCAAGCCAGCTCCAGGGCCAGCCCACCCGGGGACCCCCACCCGCAGGGTTGACACTCACGTGACAGGGTTAAAGGGCCGCTTGCTCCGGTCCGACTGTGACTGCTCGATGTTGATGGACTGGTTCAGGGCCTCCAGCTGGGGGAGAAGCAGAGGCCGGTGGCCCATGAGGGCCGGGGACCCCGCCTGGTTCTGCCACCCTTTAGCCGCTCAGCCCGGGCCTGGCCCAGCCCGAGCTCCCCGGGAACTGGAGGCGAGGCCCTCCCCTCAGTGAGGGCACAGACAGTCACATGGCTCTCCCAGCTCCACATGCACCCACTCACGCATTGCACGGACACGCGGCCCCCACCCCCGTCCCCGCGGCCCCTCCATGAGCAGCGGCTGAGCCACGCCAAGGCACCAGGCTCCAGCTCCCGGCAAGGCAATGGAGGACACCCACGCAGCCATGCCCCCAGGGAGCTCGCAGGCTCCAAATCAGCCACTCCGAGGCTGGGGCTAGAGGGGCCCCAGGGGAGGAACCTCAGGGCAGGTGTCCCCAAGGGCCGAGGACTGTAGCAGAGTGAATGGGAAGGCCAGGGGAGGAGGGATGGAAGGGGCGTTCTCAGGGTGTCCCAGAGGAGGGGAGCTGCCTCGGGAAAGCGGGGCCTGTGAATGGGCATAACCCGTCTGGGGCACAACGAGAGGCAGGGCTGGAGGGAAGGGCTCGTGGGCTAAGCTCGGAAGTCAAGGCTTTGCTGGAGGGCACCAGGAGCTCTGGAAGAATGGCAAGTGTCGTGCCCGCTGGTGTCTCAGGGGGAGCGTGAGCTGGTGGCCCCCGTGGAAGCTGCTGTGGTCACTTAGACGAAGTGGGGGTGTGGTCGGGGCCAGGGAGAGGCAGAGGAGAGAAGAGAGAGGAGGTGGGCCAGGCCTGGTGCATGATGATGAGGTGGGGGCAAGTGGGCCCCTGGATGGATGGCTTGGGTGACCAGCACCCTGGAGCCCTACTCCCTGAGTGGGGGGCCCCGACGGAGGGGCAGGCTGACAGGGAGCTCATTTGGGGCTGGGATCTAAGCCGACATAGGGGTCAGGAGAAGGGTCTGGGCTGGGGGTATAGATTTGGGGTCACCGGGCAGAGAAGGAATCAGGAAGCACAGCTGAGAAGGGGGCTGAGGAGGCTGACGGTTGGGGTGTAGGTACACTCACTTTGCCTTGGGGTCGTTCAGGTCCCCAAGCATTCCTGGCTCCCCTCCCCTCCTGGCTGAGCCCCCAAACCTGCCTTCACTCCGTGCAGTTTCAGGTAGAAGCAGTCGAGGGGCTTGAGGCCCTCAGGCGTCTTGACGTACTTGGGCTCGCCCAGCATGCCAATGTATACGGTGACCTGGAAGTGGTTCTTCTTCTGGCACACGAACGCGTCGTCGCCCACCGAGAAGTTGAAGCCCTTGTCAGCGTCCACGCGGTAGGTGAGCATGGGCCTGGGGGCAGGCGAGGGTACTCACCAGAGGCCCCCCCACCAAAGCCAGGCCTGGGACGTCCCTCCCCCATGCCTGCATTGCAAAGCGATTTCCTACCCAGTCCCCACCGCCACCCCCCAATCCTCAGACCACTCACGGGGCTGCCCCCCACTTCTCAGAAATGAAAACTGAGTCCCCGGAAGGATTTGAGCTCAGGTCTGCCAACTCTTCAGCCAATATTCCTTCCTCTATGTGGCTGGGCCCAGCCCACCCTGGTGATGGGGGGAGGAAGGGCAAGACCCCTGAGGCCCACCAGAGGGGAGTGAACTCCTGAGGAGGGGGCTTGACGGCCCCTCCTCACCCTTGGCTCCTTCCCAGAAGGCTGCCCGAAGCCCCTCCCTCACAGGAGATGGGGTGAGAGGGGGTGCATCTGCAGAGCTTCACTGGCCTGACAGCTGGTTGCCATGGAAACGGTGGAACCAGGCGCCGGCTCGGGACTGGCCCAGCCCCGGCCTGCTGGCTTGCTCAAGCCCCCAAAGTCCTCATTCTGACTCCTCCATCTGCCCAGGTGGGGAGAGGGGCACTCTGGGCAGCGTAGACGCAGCCTCCCTTTACCCATCTGTGGCTGAGCAAGGATTCCAAGTATGGATCCTTTGGGGGACCTCCGGGCGGTGGGACAGGGGGCAACTGTTGGCTCATTCTCACCCAGGTCCCCAGGCACAAAGCAGTGCCCCCAGTGCCCAGGGCCTGCCTGGAGGAAGATGGGCAGAGAATGATTCCACACTTGGGGGAAAAGGCTTGGGGGCCTGGCTAACATCTACAGAAAGGCCTGGAGCTCCAACCACCTGCCTGCCCCAGGGGAACACCCAGGAAATACATGGGCCACACTGGGAGCCTCAGCTGCCAGCTTCCTGGCCTTGGGGCCTGAGATGGCAGGGCTGGCCTGGAAAGCATGGTAATAAGAGTGGGGGGGGAGTCCTCCCCAGGTCACAAGGGTGGGATCCTTGAAGACCTCTCCCCCCATCCTCACAGGGCCTCAAGGGATCCTTCAGCCACGACAGCAGCTGGATCCCCCCCAGCCCCGAGGGCTTCTGGCTAAGGGCTTCAGCCGCACAGCCTGGGGCGCCCAACTCCAGGACGCCGTTCTCAGCCAGCCCACCCAGGCCTGGCAATGCCCAAAGGGAGTCGGTGAGCCACCCTCCCACGCCCACCGGACTTCTGCAGGAGTGAGGGGAGTGGTCCCACAGTGCTCCTGGCCTGGTCCCAGGAGGCTGAATCCACATGGGTGGGTGCTGAGGGAGAGCTAGGAATGCCCGGACAGCCCTGTCCTCCCCCACCCCCTCGTCCCTCCCTTCCAGGGAGGGGGCTGCTGGAAGGGCCCTGCCAACACAGCTTCCTGCTACCTTCCTGGAATGCCGAAGGAGTGGGGGAGGAGGAGCCACCCACTTCTCCCTGCCTAGGCTCCCACTGGCCCCTCCCTGACAGGCACCACCTCCTTAAGGAGGCCTGGGGCAGGCCCACAAGTCGGGAACCCCGAGGGCCTGTCCTAGTTTTGACCCGAGCCTGCTGCTCTCCTGTAACCGGGGCCCACGTGGTGCCCAGTGTGCTCCCAGGCCCTGCTCTGGGACCCCGACACCAGGGACGTCCCCGGATGTGGTGGCAGGGGTGGGGCGGGGCACTCACAACTCCTTGTAGTTCGCGTCGTACAGCGTGGCCCACTTGTTCTGCTGATGTGGTTGCCACTTGATGGACTGGTAGTTGGGGTCCAGGTAGGAGCCACTGAGGCTATCATTGTCCTGCAGGAGACCTGGAGGGAGGAAGCAGCCACGTGGGCCCTGGGCCCCACGCCCCCACCTCAAGGGGAGCTGGCTCGCTGTGAGCTCCAGCAGGCCAGGCACATACCTGGTGAGGGTGCCCCTGGCGGGTGCCAAGGTGGTGTCTGGACCCGGGCAATGCTGAGGGGCAAGGAGCCGGAGCCGGGTGAGAGGGGGCCCTGGGGAGGCCAGGGTGGGGTTGGGGCTCGAGCTGGGTGTGGGGGCAGGGTCGTTGCTGTCCCAGGCTCCTGTTTGATCATTCCATTCAGCATCTGGGCATTGAGGGTGTTGGGAGGTGATTCGGAGTGCTTCCTCTTCTTGGAGGGGTGTGTGGGGAGCCTGGGGGTGACACAGAGGCGTGCCATGGGGGGCTGGCTCTTCCTGAGCCCCCTCCCCCCTGGGCAGTAGCCCCCTTTCCCTCTTCACCCCGTTTCAGCAGGATATGCCCAATCCAGAGGACACCTCCTCCAAAAAGCCGCTGGGCTTTACCTCCTCAGTGCTGCCCCATCGCTCTGTAATGCCATTCTCTGCTTCTGTCACTCATCTCTACCCCTGCAGCTCATGGAACCCGGGGGGCAGGAGCCACACCTGACTTATCTGTGTGTCCCATCAGGCCCAGCCATGGGCCTGGCGCACAGAGTGCCCCGAATCGGGCGCACAGAGTGCCCCCCTTTATAGTGGGGGCTCCACGGAGAGCAGCCTCCGAGGCTGGAAACAAGCCCCAGGGGGCGTGGGCCACCAAGGCTGAGAAGGAGAGCTTCTTGGGGAGGAGGCTGTGGAGTCTTGCCCTGAACTAAACCTTTCATGACATCTCGATGTGTCAAACAAACAGATAAAAGGACAATTCTCCTGGCTGGAGTCAGAGGGGGAGCTTGGGTCCATAGCTAGAACTTCCTCCAGAGCCCCCAGACTTCGTGAGAAGGTTAGAAAGTCACTGGTGTCTGGGGAAAGGCACAGGCCCGAGGTTCAAGTCCTGGCTCTGCCCCTTCCTAGTTCCATGACCCGGACAAGCATTTCCTCCCCCTGGGAGCCCCAGTTTACCTATCTGGGCAATGGGGGTGGCCATGCTCACCAAATAAGGTAGTCGGAAGCATCTGGCCAGGGCTATCTGGCTGCTGGGTGGGCACACCCGTATACACGTGCTGACCCCCGTCTCCTGGGGGCAGAGCCTTCTGCCCTCCTGGCTCATCCCGGTCCCCACGTCCATCTCTGTCCCACCTGCCGCTGCCCTGGCCCCCCACCCCCGAGCCCACCTGCCCAGTCTTACTCAGCTCCATGCTGCTGCAGCAGCTGGTGCAGCATCTGGGACTGCTGCGTGTGGTGGAGATCGCTGGGCACGAGCCCCTGCCCCATGGCAGCATAAGGGGGCATCGGGGGCTCGGTCTTCATGTACAGATCCCGCTGCAGGACAGGGTAGTGAGGTGGGGGTGGCGGGGGCGGCGGGGGGCCTGGGAGGTGGGCCGGAGGTGGAGGCGGGTGCTCCAGGCGGGAGGGCACTCCCACGTGGCACAGGGTCTCAGGGGTTATGGTGCGCAGGAGATGGGGGTCTGCGGGAGAGATGGGGGGGTAGGCATCAGAGACCTACATCACTCGGGTTCCCGGGCACAGGGTTTCCCACCTTCTCCTGAGACAAGCCCCCGGGGGGGGCTGCCCTCCCACCAACCCACGTGGGAGGAGGGCTGGGCAGCCTGAGGCTGGCCACTAGAGGCCCCGGCAGGGAGACAAGCCCCTGTCCAGGGGGTGGGCAGCTTCTCTCCCACCCCGCCGCCATCCTAACCGGCTCCTTCCCCCCAGGCCCGGCTGCCCAGCTCCTGGGGGAAGGCCCCCGCATCCCAGCGTCCTCCCCCAGCCCCTCTCAGGCCTGGTCCTCCTCCGGGCCTCAGGAAGGAGTCTCTCGGGGACCCCCAGCACAGTCCTGCGGCAGCCCTCCTCCATCCCGCAGCCCCTCTAGCGGGCTCCCAGGGGCCAGCCCCCCAGCTCCCTTTGTTCCCCAGGAGGCATTCCAGAAATGTTTTTGGTAAGATAAACAGAACTCTTGACCCCTCTCTGGGCTGTGGGGAGCCAGCTGCCCGAGATCCTTCTGCTTTGGGCCACCTGGGGGCCGCTGCACCCCTGGCACCCCCCCACCAGGGGAGGTGGGCCCAGGAGGCCAGCCAGGCCTGTACTCGGGCTGCACCCACAGCCTTCCCCAGCCGTCCACTTACCGCCGAAGGGCGCGTCCATGATGGCGCAGGCGGGCAGGCGGGTGGCATCACCAGCAGGGACACTTGCTCAGAGGCAGGGCCAGGCTCCCCACCCGCCCGTGGGAAAACAATAGCCAGCACCGGGGAGTATTTGACCAGCGATAATCTGGGCCTGTTGGGCGGCCGCTGGCCCCCTCCCTCCCTCGCTCCCTCCCTCCCCGATAAGGCCGCCCCAACCACTTGCCCAAACCCCAGAGGGGGAGGGCGGTGCCCGCTGGACTCACCATTCACCTGCTGGGGGGAGTAGGCCTCGGAGCCCGAGTCTGGGGGAGAATCTGGCAACGTGCTGCAGGAGCAGGAAGAAGGGGCTGTTGGGCGGGCAGCTCGTCTGTGGGGCCGCGGCCGGGAGACCACAGACGCTGCAGGCCCTGAGGTCCCCTCACTACCCCCTTCAGGGGAATTTCTCTGTATGAGCCACCTTGGGGTGCCAGGCAGGGCCTGGGGCTGAGCTGTAGGTGGTGGGCCTTGGGCTCCTGCCCAGCATCCCCTCAGACCTACCAGGCGCTTGGGGACCAGGAACCAGTGTCCCTAATGATGGCACAGGGATTCAAGGACACAGGGATGGCACAGAGATTCAAGGAGCAGGGGCCAGGCCTGCTCCTCGCTTCCCACACCCACTGAAGCCCCACTTTTTAGAAACTCTAGGGGAGAGCTCTCGGGGGCTCTAGGAGGCTGGGCCGCCCCACCAGGGGCAGGTATGGGCTGGGCAGGGAGCCAGCCCCACCAGGTCGGGGTGTATTTTTTTCTTGCTGGTTTTGTTTTATCAGCGGTTCAGGCAAAAGAACAAACTCAACCCTGAGAGATCAACACGTCCTGCGTGAACCCTGCGTTCGCCCGGTGAGGGGAGGCTGCGGCCAAGCAGGGACCCAGCTCTCTGGCCGTCCTGGTCCCCACATCTGGAGAGACTGCCCGCCACCGTGCCCAGGCAGCCAAGCCCTCATGGACACGGCCCTGGGCTGATTCCAGAGTCCTCATGCTCCCCTGGATGAGCCACCCACCCAGCCCCCCCAGGCTGTGTGAGAATGACAGAAAAGGCAACAGAGACCCGATCCTCTGCAGCCCTCAAGGTCCCCGAGGGCTGCCTGGGGCCTCTGCCCTGCGCCCACCAGCTCCTGCCTGCTTTCTGTACAGTGGCCGTTGGGTTTTCCGGTGTGTAAAGGTCCCGCACACCCTCTGGTCCCTGCAGTGAAATGTCTCCAGTCCGTGGGACCTTGTGTTCCTTCCCCACGACTCCTCCTGCTGCTCATTAGTCCTCGATTTGGTGATTTTTTGATTAATAAGTCCCTCCCCAACCGGCCTGCAGGATCCACCTCAGGAGGGACGTGTTTGTCTCGTTTGGCTCCTAGAACAGGGTCTGGCAGGCGCAGGGGCGGTGAAGGGCCCTGGGTCCCTCCCGGGGGGACAGCCTGGGCCACACGGTCTCTGTGTGCCTCTGGGCAAGCCCCTTCTCTCCCTGAGAAATGGCCTCGGTGTGCCTTTCGAATCCCGCCAAGGGGCAGCACGGCTTCACTGGCAGGCCAGCTGGTTCTGGGATCTCCCAGGAGCTGCTTACTGCAGAGGCTCGATGAGCGTTCACGAAGAGAGCCACAGGGTCCTGCAGCAGGCAGGTGCTCCTCCTGTGTTCGTCCTCGGTCTTTGCCCTTCGGGGTCTGGGCTCAGGGACAGCCTCTCGGCCGGATGTCTGCCCTCCACAGCGAAAGCGCACCCCTAACACCCCAGCTTGGCCCCGCGGGCCTCCCCCAGTAAGCCAGGAGCTGGCTCCAGTTGCCCCCCCCCCCCCGCACTTGCTCTGAGCTTCCTCCCCTTATTTCCACAATCCTGGAGAGGGAAGCATTTTGAGCTCACTCCACAGCCGCAGATGCTGAGGCCCTGACCGAGGCAGTGGGTTATCACGCCAGCGGCCTGCAAATGCTGGAGCTGGGGGTAGACCCAGGCTGTGTAGACAGCATCACGCCCCCAGCACTCTTACTATTCTTCTACCCAAAGACAGGGTCCCCTGCTCTCCTGCTCCGCACACTGGGGAACCCAGAACTTTCTCCTTGCCCCTCTGCAGAACCCAGCAGACCCATGTTCCTGCCTATCCTCATGAGCACGGGTCTGTGGGCGGCCCCGGAGTCTGGCTGGGCTGCTGACCGCCTGCATCCTGCGGTCACAGCCGGGCCCCTGGTGTGGACTCCTTGGAGAGAGGAGAGAAAGGGCCTGGGAGGCTGGCTTGGGTGGGGGGAGCTGCAGGTCCCGTTTCTGTGCCGTCAGCCAGCTCCCTGCGGCCCCAGCAAAGAGCAGCTAGATGCGGGAGTGGATGGGCCTGGGGCAGTGATGTATGTGTGTACAACGTGGGCGCCTGTGTGTATCCGTGTGGGTACGTAGCCGGGTCTCTAGGCTCACCTCCTCCCATCCCCTTTACACAGCTGTCAGAGAATTTTCTAGCACTTACGTCAGCCCTCATCACTCCCCTGCTCAGAATCTTCTGGGGCTGCCCACGGCCTCGGGACAAAGCCACGAGTCCCTCCTCAGCCACCCTCCCTACCCACAGGGCAGCCGTCACCACTGCCAGGCCACCACCAGCACCTCCCAGGCCATGGCCCCTGCCCCCATACCCCGCACGCCTGCCCCCCACACTCCCCGCCCTCACTCACCCTGGGGCATAGGGAGCCTTGGGCTCGGCCTTGATGGGGGGCCCAGAGCCCCCCAGGAAGGGCTTGGGAGCACTGGCCATAGCATTGTTGTTGCAGTTGAGCGCGGAGCTGTAGCTCGGGGCGGGGAGGGAGCCGTGGCGCCCCGGGGAGGGTCCGCCCCCTGGGGGGCTCAGGTGGTGGCCCCCGCTGGAGCCCGGGATCGCTGGCGGCCCGTGGGGGTAGGAGGCTGCGCTGGCTGGAGCCGAGATGTCAGGGAAGCAGCTGTGGAGAAAGGAAGCAGCTCAGCGCCAGCCAGGACCCCAGCCCCTCCCCAGGCCCCCACCTGCCAGGCCGCGTGGAGTCCGCGGATGGGAAGAGACGGGGGGAGCAGCTTGCAGATTGGGGCCGCAGACACCTTCCAGGTGAAAGGTGGAGGCCAGGGGCGTGGGGGCAGGGCCACTCACAGGTCAGAGGCGTCCTCCTTGCTGATGTACTCCTCCAGGATGCTGGTGTCTATGTTGGAGGGCTCCAGGGCACCGTTGATGTCGTGGCCTGCAGGGGAGGGGCAGATGTGAGCTACCCCTAGGCCTCTGGGCCCTGCCCTGCAGCTCTCCCCAGGCCGGGCTCTCCAAAACATATGCCCCCAGGCTCCTCCCGATCTGCGTATCCATGTCCAGGGAGAGTCCTTCAGTGCCTATCACCTGACGCCCCTCCAGGGGGCATCACACTGTTGATGCTTCCCTCCCCTGCCAGCCTGCCCCGAGTCTCTGAGGAGGGGAGGAGCCCAGAGCGCAGATCGGGGACAGACAAGCCATTTCCTGTGACATGAGCAAGTCCTTCCTCTTGTCTGTAAAATGGGGTCATCGTTCCAAAGCCTTATGGGGGGCTGGGAGGAGAAACTGAGGTACTTTACTGAACTGAGTGCCCAGTGGATGCCCACCACCCTTGAATGCTGGACCCAGACTCGATGACTCTGTCCTGCGCTGCCTCCCTCCAGATGGCCCAGCTGCTGGGCACCCAGGAACACGATGCGGGGCTGGGCTGAATCACACGTCCTGGGGTGGGGGGGCCGTGTGGCCAGGGGAGCCTCCTGCACCCCAGGCCCCAGCTGCAGATGGAGACGGAGTGGGGAATGGAATCAGAAGTGCCCGGCTCAGCCTACTGCATAGCTTGTCGCCCCCATAACGGGGGTTGGGGTACCCAGCCCTCGTATTCCAGAGGAGGAAATGGGCCCAGAGAGGTAAGGGCTTGCCTGGCCTCACAGCAGGGAATGATGGCGGCCAGAGGTCTGCTCCTCCACCACCCTCTCCTGGGCCTTCCCTGCTGGCCCCAGCCCCACAAAGGGGAGGGGCTCACAGAAAAGGAGCCCAGTGCTCTTGGGCATAAGCAGGGGAGGAGAGGGGGAGGCACTGGCCCTTCCCCTCCCAGGGTCACCTTGCAGGGGGGAGCAGGAGGGCGGGGTGATAAGGGGGCTGACGTAGGAGATGCGTCAGCCCCGATAATGGAGGACGGCCCTACCCACGCTGCTGACCTGGGCTGACCAGCCCCCCTGAGGCAGGAGGTACCCCTCCCACAGGCCCCTGGTGCCGTGAGCCTAGGGTCTGCGCCTCATGCCTTCTCCCAGGCGAGCCCTGGGAACAGCTCAGGAAGATCCAGGAACAAGTCCTGCCTTGCCTACTGCCCGCTGTGTGACCTTGAGCGGATCACATACCCTCTCTGAGCCTCAGTCTCCTCATCAGTAAAATGGGGACATGAACAGCTAACACTTTACAGCGTTCACTATGAAACAAGTTAAGGAACGTAAGGCGCCCCGCATATAATGGGTGCTCAGCAAACGGAGTGGATGTCCTCACTTCACAGACCCAGAGCCCTGGGGTCCCCAGGAGCCCCTGGCCCAGGCCCCTCCCTGGCCCCAGCCGGCATTTCAAGAATGCTGAGCCCCGCTTAGGTGATTAATGAGTGGCTAAGCCCTCCTAGGAGTCACGCGCTGCCTGGGACAGGCCCTCCTGCTGGCCCCCACCCCTGGCTCACCCAGCCAGGAACCAGGGACACCCACCGAGCACTGCCAGTGGCCATGCAGGGCCCAGTGTGGCCAGGGCGAGAGAAGCTTCTCAAGCTGGGAATGACCAGCCTGCACATCAAGGTTCTAGGATTCCCGTCTACGCCCTGGCCCCCACCCCATCCTTCCCTGTTACCCAAAGAGCCCATTTATTGAATGCCTACTGTATGCCAGGCACTTTGGGAGCCGAAGACATTAACAATCATAGGAGTTTATTATACGCAAGGCATCCCGCGGGTTCTTCATGCCCTAGTCGGGAATGGTGATGATGACAAGAGGACAACGATAAGGACAGCAGCTCCGGCGGACCGAGCGCCTGCCTAGCAGGTCCCAGCACTATTCTCAGGGCTTTACAGGATGATCACCCAATTATTAGCATCATCCGCTTTATTCAGAGAGGTCAAGTCTCTTGCCCAAGGCAACACAGCAAGGAGATTCAAACCCAGGCACAGGGGCCTGACTCCAAGTGGGAAGGTGTGGTTGGTGGTAGATGAGACTTCCTGGCCATTCTGGGCTGCCCCACCTTATGGGCTGGCAGTGGGGAGGAGGGGTTCCTCAGGGGATAGGGAGGGAGGGAGCACTGGAGCATTACCCACCCCCCACCCTGGCTGCTGATGTTGCAGGTTTTTGAGACTGAACTTGGAATCTACAGTGAATGATGGGGTGATGGAGTCATGGTGTTGCTATTTATAATAGGCCAGGCCCCCTCCTCCCCTCCTCCCCCTCCTCTGGCCAGGAGCACTCCTAATCACCCCTAATCCTCCTGCCCACCTCCCTTGGGATAGGGGGGCCTCAGGCAGAGGCATCCTGGGAGACCCTAACGAGAACCAGATGTGGTTGAGGGGAGGAGAGACCCTCCCGTGCCAGGGGCCGGGAGGACGGGAGGACAGAGGAGGGAGGAGGGAACCACTGGGGCGGGGTGGGGAAGAAGTCTAAGGTTTGGGTAGTTGGTGGGCCTCCTGAGGAACCCTGAGCCCACATCTTCTCCTTCTCTGGGACCCCACAAGGCCTGCCTGACATTCTCCCCACACGGCTCAGCCTAAAGGGTCCAGCCACCAGGCAAATGCCACCAGACTGCCCCAGAAATCATACTGGAAACTTCTAATCAAACATTTGGGAGGACAGGGTGGGGGTGGGGGCTTGCCGGAGCCCAGAGATTCCTGAGGCTGGGGCAGAGCCCCCAGGAACCCAGCTGATGAAGGCATCAGCACATTTTGGGGGACCCCTCTCCCCAACTGTTCCCAGAAAGAGCTCTGGAACATCCTCGAGCCAACAACAGATACCTGCCCCTCCTCAAACCCTTCCACAACTTCCCACTGCTCAGGATAACCAGAGCCCTCCTGGAGGTCCACGGTGGTCCCCTTACCTGCCTCCTCCAGCCTCCTCTCCTAACCAGTTCCCTCCCCGCACCTCTCTCGGTCCTAGGGCCTTTGCACATGCTGTTCCCTCTGCTGGAGGAAGCCCATTCCCATTCACTGGGCTTAGATGTAAGTTTCTCCAAGAGGCGCCCTCTGACTCCCATTCCCGTGACTGGCGGCCTCCTTTCTCATCCAGCTCCTTACTCGGCTGCCTAGGACAGCCCTCACAGGTGGGCGGAGGGTCTGTCCCCTGCCCATCCGCTGCCCACAGCTCACTCACCGAGTGGTCACCCTGTGCCCACGCTCTATATGGCTCATATTTAACTCCCATAACAACCCTACAGGACAGGTGGTTTTCTTGTTCTCCGTTTTACAGATGAGGAAGCAGGCTCAGAAAGGATAAATGCCTTGCCCAAAGTTTACAGGTGTGGGACCCGGGATATGAGCCCGGCCCTGTTCCGACTTTCTGGGATATAAGCATCTAAGCATACAGTAGGCACACAATTGAGGTTCATGGAATGAATGAGCAAAGTGGCATGCAGGACGCTAGAACCAGGCCTGCCTGGGTCTGGGGACCTCCACCCGGCCGTGTTATGGTCAGGGTCCAGGGCTAGACAGGGCCTCTCTAGGTACCGCCTCTGCCCCGCTGAGCTACTCGCCCCAGCTGCTCCTCATTAATTAGGACCTTTATTACCTGCTTCTAACAGGATCCAGACACTGCCCTGTCCCAGGCAGGCTGGGATAGGGGCTCTGGAGAGGAAGCCCCCTCCTCTCTTCTCTCCTCCTCGCTTTAAGGCCACCCAGCTGGGCAGAAGAAGAACCGAGGGGATACGAGCCAGGTGCGGGATGAGGGCGGGTGGGGGCCCAGGTGGTCCTCCACCCTGGACTCCTCCCTTCCCCCTCCTCATGCTCATGACCACCCCCCCACCAGCTGTGGCCGCTGGCTGAGTCTGAGCCATTGTCCCAGGGAACGGGGGAGGGTGGGGACCCGGCACAGTGGGAGGCTTGTGCCCTGCCCACACCTCCCCCCCACCCGTCAATGGGGCACTTGTCAATTCATGTCCCAAACATGGCGGAAATCCCGTCGGCCACGTGGCTGTGGGCAGGGGAGGCCAGGGCCTAAGGATGCTGGCCAGGCCTAGCTGATCAGAACCTGAGGCAGACAGGGCCCAAGTCTGTTCCCCACATTCCGCCCTGAGTGGCCACCCCAGGCGTCTGAATCTTAGGGCACCCCGGCTCCAGGCCACGGCTGGGAGCCGGGATGGTAGGGGTTCAGGGGACTGCCCAACCCAGCACCCCCATGATGCCCTCGGGGACTCCTAGGGTCAAAGAGGCCTAGCAGCTAATGTGGGTCCCCCTTCAATGTTATGTGACCTTTGGCAAGTGACCTGACCTCCCTGCGCCTCAGCTTCCTTCTCTATCAAGGGAAGCAGGGATCCCTGCCTCACGGAGTGGTCCTCAGTCTTCAACAAGAGGGTAGGAAAGCTCCTCACTCCCCAGAGGCCATTCCTCAAATAACATTCATCGCTGTTTCCTTCTCTCTTGGGGCTCCCCTCTCCTCTCCTGCCCAGGGTCTACCTCTCTCACCCATGCCTCTCCACCTGACTGCATATCTGCTCCAGAGAGCCTCTGAGGGGGCCTCCGACCTCCTCCCGAGTCCCTCTGACGCATGCCTGGTACCATACTGTTATTCTGGCATATACACAGCCAAGTCCAGCCTCCAGGCCTTGGCTATAGCCCCCCACCCACTACCCCGATGGGTAAGCCTGTGACTGCCTCCCTGCTCTGGAAGCCCCTCCTCAATCTCCTCCATCACAGCGGGCCCCCAGTGCCATCGCTTCTTTCCTAACATGGCCTGAGCTAATCGACACGCTCCAAACTAGTTCACTGTGGGACAGGGCACAGTAGGCTCTCACCTCCTTCGGCTTGAACTTTCTATCTTTATTAATACGATCTGTGATTAATGTAGTAACTGCTAGCGGTCCCCGTTTCAGGCTTCAACCTGTGACCAGACCTTCTCACTCAAAATGCCTTCCGGTGAGATGCTTGATTTTGCAAGCTATCCTTTGCATCTCCGCATCAAGTCTCCAGTTAGCTAGGGGCTGAATGACAAGGATATGGCTCCTAAGTCACTG